TCCCAAGACAGAACATATTAAACAGTCTTTGGAGTTGGGCACAGCAGTGCACACCTATAATTCCAGCTACCTAGGAAGCTGAGACAGGAGTATTGCAAATTGGAGGCCAGTCTGGGCAACTTAGTGAGATTCTGTCTCAAGAATAAACTTAGAAATATAAGGCTATAAGGCTGGGGTACAGCACTCGCCTACCATGTGCAAGGCCCGCATCTCTATCTATATAGTACTGGGAAAAGTGAAAACAGCTTGTATGATGCATAACTTTGGAATTGTTAGACACAGGGAAGGTGGCCTCCCACTACCCTCTTGCCCTGGGCCTCACAAATGTTCTGAGCATGCTGGGGTATTCGACCATGGCAGAACAGACACAAAAACCATCTGAAATCACTGCTTCCAAGGAAGGAGAGGGAAGGGAAAGATGAGGCAGAAGGATGGTGCTGTGAGTTAAGAGTCTGCATGTGAATTCTCTTTGCCACATACGCTGTCCTATGATCAAACTCAGAAAAACTACCCCAGCTCCCATCTACTCCCTAGGGTCTTCCTGACCCCCAGATCCCACCTCCCTTCTCTGAGCCTCCATAATTTCAGCTGTGCAGCATGCTTCTCCTGCCTCAAGCTGCCATCCATGAGGCCTCTGCAGCCAGAGCCATCTCCTCAGGCCATCTGGTCACCTGCCTTCATCTCTGTCTCTCCTGAGAGGTACTCCTGAGCCAAGGTCAGCCCTGTCCTTCCCATGGCCACTGGTCTCTGCCAGAATTCCCTCCTCCTTGTCTCCCGCCTGGCACTCTTGGCTGCAGCCCGGGGCTGTGGGCTGCAGGTTCGGGAGGGGAGGGGAGCGGTGCTGCATTCAGACAGCGCCACAGTTGGACCTGTCGGAGAGTAGCAGGCGTCCCTGTGCCACATCTCCACCATCAGCAAGTGACTGGTCTTCCTCTGTGTCCTGAGTCAGGCCTTTCCCATCACAGCTCTCCCTCCGTTTCAGTCCCTACCTTTCAGGCCCCTCTCTCCCTCATTCTCTCCATTTCTGCTTCTTCCTCCTCCCACCCCCATCCTCCAGCTCTGCCCACTGCCTGGATTCCTCTTTCTCCATGGGGCAAATGGCCTTTTGCTTCTCATCTATTCCGTACCCTTCCTTGTCCACACATTCAACACTCCCTCCTCCCCAGGCCCAGAGGACTGAGGGGGCAGTGACCCCAGGAGCATCTGGGAGCCAAGGTCATTCTTCAGTCACTTACCAACTGACAGGCTCTTCACAGGAGCCTGGGGGAAGCAGCATCAGCACCAGGTCCCCACCTCACATTTAGATTAGGGAAACAGGCCAGAAACACACTCAAACGTCAGGGGAGGCATTAGGGAGAAGGCCAGACAGATCAGGCAGGGTGACAAAAACCATTTGTAGATCCAGGCATGGTGGCACATGCCTGTAATCTCAGCACTTGGGAGGCAGAGGTAGGAGGATCATTGCAAGTTCCAGGCCAGCCTGAGCTACAAAGTGAGTTCAAGACCAGTCCAAACTGCACAGCGAGACCCTGTCTCAAAAAGACAAAAATCGAAAAATAAACAAAAATACCATTTGTACGGGTTGGTCTTATTGCCAATCAGCCTGGGGTATTTTGCTCAATTCAGATGGAAATCATGACTTGGCAAAGTCACCCAGACAATGCTGGGTGGCAAGAGTGGACACAGCCAGCTGCTGGCTGCTATCATCCTGTGCCAGCTTCTGGTGGACACCTTAGGTCGACTCTGCCAGGTGCTGGTCTCTGCTCCTGATCTGCTGGTCTCTGAGCACTTCAATGCTAACATCCCCTAGGTGTTTGCTAACATCCCCTTTCTTCTGAACTGACCACTCAGTCAAATGTACTTGGGATTCAGATAAGAATCCCATTAGATTTACAGGAGTTTTGGAACCTATGTGACCTGAAAAATAAATCAAGAGCAGGTTTATAAGGCATCAAAATGAGCTGTTAGCAGGGCTTGTGGTACCCTGGAGGGAGACTAAGCAGAGAGTGTGTGGCGAGTTCTGCTTATATAACTGCGGCAGGACTGTGATTGGTCCAAACAAAGTGCAGGCCTGTGATTGGTGCAGGGCTCCAGGACACTCTGTGAAGAGGTGGGGCTGAAATCAGGGAATCTTCTGGAAAGCTGGTCGTGGGGGTGGGGGATGGTTAACAATGGACCTAGATCTTCCTTTCTCCATATCCCTCTACCTCTGCTGCCTGTAGTTCTGTTTTCCCCCTCTCTTGCTTCCAGGTCTCTCTACTTCCATCTCTGTTTCTCTCCAGCTCTGTCTCTGCCAGGCTCTGTGCCTTGTCTCCATTTTCTCTTCTGGATCTTTCGTTAAATTTGTCTTCCAGGAAAGGCTGACGTGGCAGCCAGCAGCCCTGAGCCTCTGGAGCGGGGGAGTCCTGGTGAGGCAGTGGCAGTTGGCAGAGGGTACAGGGAAGGCCATGTCCCCTGCTGGGGTGACCAGCAGTCTCAGTCTGCCTTGGACAGTCCAGATGTCAGCACCAAAAGGCATAGGGCCAGGCAAACCAGGGCGTTGATCTGTCATCCTGCTAGCTGCTAGAAGACCCAGGAGCAAGAATGGGAAGCCTGCAAGGAGCTCTGGCTGGGAGAGGATGAGGAGCAGGACACCCAGCTGTCCCCTGCATTGTGTCTCAACCGGAGACATAAAGGGTTAAGTGAAGGGGCTGCCCAGGAGGTAAAAGTCTCCATCCATGTCCCATTGTAAGATCCCTTGGGAATCAGATGGATGGTTCTTAGCTGAGGTCAACTTGGCCCTGGTGACCCTTGTCTCATTGTCTTTCCTGGTGGAAATGAGGGTCTCCCTGCAGGCAGAGGCAGGCCCTGGGCAAATAAGAGCCACCACCACCAGTGACCAACACATGCCACTCACTTCCACCCTTGCAGAATGGCTGGTCCCTGTCACTTCTCTTGCCCTTGGCCTTGGCTGTTCCGAGATGGGGTTCTGAGGAAATGCTAGTGTGTGGCTCCATCTGAGGCTTCAAGGACAGGCCAGGGTTCCCCCACCCAAAAACGGTTTGTGATGCATTCTCCTACCTAGCAGAGCGGGATCTCTGGCAAATTATGTGACTTCTTGGGCTGGGGATTTAGCTCAGCAGGCATAAGTGCCTGCTTTGCAAGCCCATAGTCATGAGTTCGATCCCTGGTACTGATTTAAAAAAAAAAAAAAAGGCCAAAAAACAAAAGTATGTGACTTCTCTAAATGCCCTCCTTGAAGGAGTCCTATGACCTTGGTCACATCTCCTCCTCATCTGTGCCACAGGTGGGCTCTAAGTGTTTTGCTTCCTGGTGCCAGATGACCATCCACCTGGCTCACTTATTCTCCTGACAACATTATCAAGAGGAGATTGATAGGTCCCTGTCCTCCCTGCAGCTGAGTCACATGCTCAGCAGGAAAGCATAGGCCACTGCTGATGCTAGAGAGGGCAAAGAAGGAAACCTAGGAGGTCCATGTGAGCCACAGGTGTCTCAGACAGGCTCCTTATAGGAGGCAATTTCATGGGACATGCCTAAGACAGAGTCTCCTCTACCAAGAGGCCCCTCTGGTTGACCTTGATGTCACCGATTCTCTCCTCTGCTCTGTTGAACCCTGGATGTGTGTGCTTCCAGCCTCTGGTCCAGCCTCCCCATGCAGGGCTTTCCCAGAGACCTGCTGGCCCGCTAAGATGAGGCAAGAAAAGGCTTCCTCCACTGGCCAAGCCCTCTGAACTGGATGTTAATCACAGCCCCAGCCTGTGCCCTGGTCTCTGCAGGCAGCATCCTGGGACTTCTACAGTCATGCTTGGTGACAGGGAAGGGATAGGAGGGGCTGGGTAGGACAACACTGTTAACCCTTGGTCCTGCCAAGAGGTAAGTTGAGAGAGAATTAAAGCACCTTAACAAACAGAACTCTCGAGACATAGATGAGAGCTGCAGAGGTGACATGAACAGGCTGTGTACATCCCACACCCAGGGGGACAGTGAGACCAGAGGGGCCAGCAGGATTTCATGCTTTATACTGCACAGGACATCTACGGGGAGGCTGCCAGGTGGCTAGAGGCTGCCAGAGGACATCAGGAAGAAGCCTCATGTCTGCTGCCAGGGGTCTGTCCCTGGGTTTGGAAGCCACCCTGTGAGTCTGGGGGTCCAGAACTGCAGCTGGGGACACTGGTGTCCCCCAGTTTCTGCCCAAGCATTTAGTTGGGGGTGATGAGCCCGGCTTCCTGGAGTTCCCTCCTCCCAGCCCAGTGGGGCCCAGCTCCGCCTGGACAGAATGTGCGGCTGGTTGTGTTTTCTTAGTAAAACTCGCCAGTACTTTGGCTTCTCGCCCAGAGGCTGGGGCCTGGCGGCTGCTTTGTACACTCCAGCCTTCTCAGCCTTTCATGGAGACAACACACACATACATGTGCATACACACACACATGTACACACAAACACAGGCACACAGGGTACCACACAAACACAAAAAAAGCACACAGGGACATATACACGCAAACATATATTCACTTTTACACATAAACTCACATGTACTAACACAGACACACAGGCTGTCACACACACACACATACACACATACACACACACACACAAGACACAGCCGTACACTGAAGGTCACACTCATCCCCAAACACACACATCCCCAAACTTCAACATTCAAACACACAAATTCTCTCCCACACACAGGCCCCTACTTGAATCTGCACCAACACACACAAACACATCCACACATGTTCATACACACACACACACACACAGCCATACACACACACACAGCTGCAGGGAGGAAGAGCAGCTCCTTTCTCCCTGTTGCTAGTAGGGTAATAGAAGTTTCCCACTTTCCCTGAGATCCGATTTCTCACCCTCCCCCATCAAAACCCTGGCTCTCCTCTCCTCTTGGGTCCTGTCCAGGCAGTGCTATGTCTTTAAGGAAGTTGAAGCTGGGGGGGGGGAGAGAGAGAGAGAGAGAGAGAGAGAGAGAGAGAACACAACCCTAAAATATTTGGCCTCTTCCCCTCCAGTTAAGTTTCTGGTGTCACTTAGGAGGCGTCCCTCTTGCAGAGCTGCGATCTGTGTACTCTGGGAGGAGGGTGCGTGGGCTACGGCTCTCGCCTGCAGACTCTGCACAGTCCCAGGCTCCTGTCCTGCCAGAGGACACAAATCATCCCTTCTCCCCGCACCCTGGCCTTGCCGACCCTCTGCTAACTCAGGCCTTTGTTGCTCCTGGTTCTGTCTTGGAAGAGCCTAGCCTGAAGAGGGAGAGTGGTTTGAAGGTAAGCTGGGGAAGAAAGCGCTGCCCAGGGGGTAGAGGCAGTGGCCCATGGGACTCAGGATCTTCCCCTTTGGCACCTCCGAGATGTTGGGGATAGTCCCTTGCTGGGAGCCTTCCAAGGAGTAGGACAACACTCCCTGAACAGCCCAGACCCCCAAAATCTCAGCTGCCTTTGAGCCGAGCCTTCAGCCTCACCCAAGTCAGCTCAAAGGTCCTGGAGGGGTTTATTTAGGCAGCTGCCTGGCGCAGTTGGAACTGAGCGGGCTTGCTCGGGTGTGATTCCACAGAAAGGGCCTGGTGTCCACTGTGGTCAGGGCAGGAAGAGTGGGGGTGGCATGCACTGCACAAGGGGCCTTGTGTGGGCTGGGATAGAGCATACCTATGGGGGGCTCGGGTGGGAGGGACCATGTCCAGGATGTGGGAGGACAGGAGGGAGGCTCTATGATGTGCTGGGGGAGGGGGAACCTGGAAAACAGATTTCAAGTCATAAAGTCAGCCAGGAACAGGCCGAGGCAGGTAGAGCTCGGTGCGGAGGAGAAGCCGGGGTTCTCTCCCATCCTGTCTCCACCCTCCCTGGCTGTACAATCTTGGCAAGTCGGGGTCCTTCTCTGGCCCTCAGTTTCACCTTCTGCAGAGGGTGGGGGTGGCTGTCAGTCTAGAGGATGCTGGGCTTTCCTTGAGTTTTGTGGGATGGGGCCTCCTCTGGTTGGGAAAAGCTTGGGCGGGGACCTGAGGAGAGGGGGACAGGGCCCTGGGCAGGTCCTGAGATCACAGGGTAACATGCACCCTCTGCAGGAGGGACAATGCCGGGGCTATGCCTGCTGTGCTGGGCGCTGCTCCTGGGCCTGGTGAGAGGCTGTCCTGAGGCCTGTGACTGCGGTGAGAAGTACGGCTTCCAGATCGCCGACTGCGCCTACCGAGACCTGGAGGCTGTGCCACCTGGCTTCCCAGCCAACGTGACCACGCTGAGCCTATCCGCCAACCGGCTACCGGGGCTTCCCGAGGGTGCTTTTGGGGAGGTGCCGCTGCTGCAGTCCCTGTGGCTGGCACACAATGAGATCCGCAAGGTGGCCATAGGTGCCCTGGCCCCACTGGGCCACCTCAAGAGCCTGGACCTCAGCCATAACCTCCTATCAGACTTTGCCTGGAGCGACCTGCACAACCTCAGTGCCTTGCAGCTGCTCAAGATGGATAGTAATGAGCTGACCTTCATCCCACGTGACGCCTTCCGCAGCCTGCGTGCCCTACGCTCCCTGCAGCTCAATCACAACCGCCTGCACACACTGGCCGAGGGCACCTTTGCACCACTCACCGCGCTGTCTCACCTGCAGATCAATGACAACCCCTTCGACTGCAACTGCGGCCTTGTGTGGCTCAAGACATGGGCACTAGCCACAGCCGTGTCCATCCCAGAGCAGGACAATGTGGCCTGCACATCACCCCACATGCTCAAGGGCACCCCGCTGAGCCGCCTGCCACCTCTGCCCTGCTCGGCACCCTCTGTGCAGCTCAGCTACCAGCCCAGCCAGGATGGTGCTGAGCTGCGGCCTGGCTTCGTGCTGGCGCTGCACTGCGATGTGGATGGGCAGCCGGCCCCGCAGCTGCACTGGCACATCCAGACCCCTGGTGGCACTGTGGAGATCGCCAGCCCCAATGTGGGCACTGATGGCCACGTCCTGCCTGGAGCCCCGGCAGTGCCCGGTGGCCGGCCACGCTTCCAGGCCTTCGCCAACGGCAGCCTGCTCATCCCCGACTTTGGCAAGCTGGAGGAGGGCACCTACAGCTGCCTGGCCACCAATGAACTGGGCGGCGCAGAGAGCTCGGTGAATGTGGCACTGGCCACCACGGGCGAGGGTGGTGAGGATGCACTGGGGCGCAGGTTCCATGGCAAGGCAGTGGAGGGCAAGGGGTGCTACACAGTTGACAACGAGGTACAACCATCAGGGCCTGAGGACAATGTGGTCATCATTTATCTCAGCCGTGCCAGGAACCCCGAGGCAGCTGTGCTGGGAAAAGGGGCTGCAGGGCAGTGGTGCCCAGGGCTGGTCCTGGTGCTGGTTCCAAGCCTACTCCTCCTTGGAGTTCCCTTCTAGCCAAGCCCCAGACGGGCCGGAGGCTGGCCCTGACCCTGCCTATTTTTCGTAAGTGTCAGGGGCTCTGAGCTGGTGACTTCACATTTTCCTACCTCCCTTCTAATCTGTTCCAGGCACCCAACACCCCAGCTCCTAGACCTGCTCAAAATGAGGGACTGGTGGGGAACTGGGTCCCAGCACCAACTTGGTGCCCATTGCTGCTAACAGAATCACCCACGACCCCAGCAGGGCCAGCAGGCTCGCAGAGTGATGCTAAGCCACTGGGGTCCTGGGTGCTGTGACTGCCAGTGGGGGCCACAGAGTGGGCGCTGGGCTACCAGGGCAGAGCAGGGAGGAAGCAAAGGGAGCCGAGGAAGGTGGGGGAGGAGATGGAGTGGTGGCTTTGCAGCCCCTGTGCTCCCCTGCCCCCTGGTGTCCTCCACACCACAGGCTCCAGAGCTCCTCTCCTCCTCCCAGATAGGCCTGACCTCCTGGGCTCTCTCCTCCCTCCCTGCTTCTGCCACTGCCCTGGACGTACATCCACCTTTTCTTCCCCCCAGTTTGCGTCTGTAGCCCCAACCTGCAAAGGGGCCATCTGGAATGGCAGAGAATAAATTGCATTTCTCACACTCTCCTGTGACTGCCTGGAGTTGTGTCTGGATGGCGGAATCCCCTACAGGGGAGAGGAGCTAGAACTGGAGAGTCAGGGGGGCCACAGCTGTCCCAGCTGTCAGAGACCAGCAGGTGGGAGCCTGACAACCCTCCCAGGGGCCCTTTGGGGCCTCTAGGGATCCCGGGCCATACTTGATGCCAACTCTGGCCCCAGGGACAAGGTGAGTTGTAGCCCTTCATCCCTGTCCTGCTTTTGAGAGAACTGTTAGGAACGGAGAGGAAAGGGGGAGAGGGAGGACCCAGAAGGAGGGGCATGGGAAGCGGGGAACTCCAGAGAAGGGGAGGGCAGGCTGCAGGGGGCTTGAGGGGCTCTCAGAAGAGGACACAGACAGGTCAGCCCCAACGCTCTGTGTCACGCCAGAGTGACTCCCTCTCCTTTCATCTGCCCTTCGAGGACCCAAGGGGCCCTGGTGGCTGAGCTCAGCAAAGTGCAGGCAGGAGACTTAGGAGCCTGGGGTGGCAGCAGTAACCCAGGGCCCTGGCCTCCCCTAACCTCCAGGTCCAGCCCAGTGCCTCTCACTCTCCTTCATCCTCCATCTACGCGCACTTTGGGCTGGACCACACACAGGGATCCTGGATGACCCCACATTTGCACCAAGGACAGGGCCGGCTCTCACGGTCTGTACGGCCTTGGGTAAGTCATTGCCTGTCTCTGGGCCTGTCTCATGGGGATGAACGCCATGGACTCCAATGTTTCTGGCTCCTGGAGGAGGGACCCCAGATTGAGTCAGGGAGCCAGGGGATGTCATGTCCTGGTGAACTAGTGGTCCTGCTGCGCTTGGAGTGAAGCTTCAACCTTCAGACAGCCAGCTCAGCTACTCTAGCCTCTCCCACACTGTCTTCCCACAGTGCTCAGTGACCACCCTCCATCTTTTGGTGGTGACACTGTTCCCTCAGCCTGTATATCCTTTCCTTGATCTTCCTGTGGTGCATCAGGCTCACCTCCTCCAGAAAGCCTTTCAGGATGAGTCCCTGTCCCTGTGTGGAGCAGGCTCAGGCATCCCATAACTCCATTGCCCCTGTCCTCAGCAAGAGGACAGGGCAAGTCTGTGTCCCCCGCCCTATGGCCCTATCAGCTGCCAGGAAAGTGCTGTCTACTGACCCAGATCTATGCAGGGCCACCATTGCCCTGTGGCTCCAGCCCTGGGGAACCACAGCCATGGCTTCTCCCTTCTTCACAGGTCCCCAGCCCCTGGCAGAGGAAGGACCTTCCATCTCCCCTCTTCCCTCTGCACATGAGGTCTCTGACTATTAGGAGGCCCCCTTCCAGTCCCCAGCTGGGGCCCCTCTTTCCCCAGCCCCACCCATCCACCCCTTGGCAGCCATCTCAGGAGTGGCATCACAGGTCCTCTATTCCGTCACCCAAAGGACACAGCTGGGACCCCTGGGGACTCCCCAGCCCACACGAGCCCTTTGCACTTGTGCAGATTTGCTGTGCCCTCCCCGTTAGGAGCACAACATCTTGGGGACAGGTTTATTTCCAGGAACATGTTCAGTGCTCTCATCATCTCTAAGGCAAAGAAATGCCAAGTGTCTGCTCTCAGGAGGCACAGCTCAGCTCTGAGCCTGGTTCAAGTTGTGGTTCTGCTGCTGGGGCTGGAACTCAGGTCTTCTGTCTGGGCTGCCTTGGGGACCCAAGGAGTGGAGTTGGAGGCCACCAGGAGGAGAGGGGAGAGGTGAGGTGGGGTGGGGAAGCAGAAGGTAGAGCCTGGACTGAGGCTCAGGCTGCAAGGTTGGGGGCCAAGCTGTCCTGACCCCAATCACAGGCCCCGCCAGGGGGCCTCAGGGGTACCTGCAAAGCTAGTAGCCCAGCCAGGCAGGGGAGACAGGCACGTGGTCCCCTGCTCCACTGGCTCCTGGACCAAAGCTGAGCACAAGACACTGCCTCCATGCCTGGGCTGGTGCTCTCAGGACCCCCCAAACTCAGCCATCCCCATCCCCTGCTGGCCCCAGGACTCATGGTCTCCAGCACTGAATGTGCTGACCCAGCTGGCTAGAAGAGAGGGCTGCCCACCTGGAGTGGGGCAGGAGGGTTGGGGAAGTGAGGGGCCAGGTGGCACTCAGCTACGGGAGCCATTGGTCCGGGATCCAGCCAAGGCTGTCTTCCGGGCGGCCTTTAGGGCTGGGTTATGTAGCAGCGTGTAGGCCACACCCCAGCGGGCCCAGCTCCGGCCAGCATGGAGCCCTGCTGCCTTGGCCATGGGGTCCTTTGTCTGCAGCAACTGCATCCCTGAGAGAAAAAGACCTTCTGTGAGTCATTTAGCAAACACCCTGCCAAGCCTCCCCCATCCTAGACTTGGGCAGAGTCTAAAAGTCCTCATAGTCAGGGTGGGGAGCATGGGGCTTGTGGAGAGCCATGGAGTCACCCACAGGGAGAGGTAGGATCTCAAGAGGACCGAATTGACTTAGTGTCTTCTCCTGATGCCCATGTCGTGGGCAGTGGGGGCTGAAGAGGACTCATACTCCCCAGGGAGAAGTGGCACAATCTCCCACAAGGAAGCCACTCTTCTCGGGCCAGAAGGGACACAACTGTGTCCCCTTCCCAGAAGAGGCCAAGGAGGTTGGGGACCACACACCTTCTTCTTCCTCTCCTGGCCGGAGGCTGTTCTGAGCAGCTGCGGGGGATCGGGCCCTGGCCCGGGGACTCCGTGCTCCCAGGAGCAGGGCACAAAAGGCTGTGACAGCTGGGTGTGACTCGCTAGCCTCCAGCTTCAGGAAGTTTCGGTACGTGTGGTAGCCTGCAACAGAGCAAGGTGCTGGTGCTGGGGAAAGAGTGGCACAGACACTTGAACACACACACACGGAGCATGTGTGCACCTCTGAGTCCAAGCATGGGGCACACCGGGCACACAGCACTGCGCTGCATATGGGTGTCTGTGAGCCTGCTGGGACACACCATACCTGCAGCTCACCTGCTGCAAAGTAGCCACAGACACTTTATTGGCCATATCAGCTCTGAAGTCAAAGTGACCTCCAGTCACAGTCCTCCCCAGGACCTTACCAGGGTCCAGAGTGGCAGCTCTTGGAGGCAGCAGGCTGAGGTCCATCTGGCCAAGGTGGACCGTGTTGTAGAGGGCAGACAGCAGAACTCTCCAGGCAGCCACCACAGCACCCAGCAGCATGTTAATGGGGAAGAGAAGGAAGGTGGCTGCACAAAGCACTCGTCTGGGGGCAGATAGTGGAGGCTGAGGCAAGGCTCTCTCAACCCCTTCCCCAGGGCCAGTGTGAGAACCACATGCCTGTGTGGCCATGCGTGTATCAGGCACACCTTCTGCAAACCCCGCCCTAAGTCGGGTCTTCTGACTCTCTTTCCACCATTCTGGGAGAGAAGACACTGAGGCCCAAAAGCCTAAGTGAGCTCACTGAGGCTGCAGAACTCCTCAGTGGCAGGAAAAAGACTGAAGGCCTCAGCCACCCAGTCTTCCCGAGGCCATGGCATCTCCTGCCTCTCTCCTCTAGGTCCCCAACCCAAATCTCCCCTGAGGCTTATGATTCCCTCCTTCCTACACAGGAGAGAGGAGCAGGGGCACAGCTCAGTGCAAAGGCCCTGGGTTCTTACCCAGCACCATGCAAAACGAAGAAGAAAAATGTGGACTTGGCCACTGATCCTTTTCTCCCAGGCAGGCAGCCTTCTCTTCTACCCCCAGGCCTCTGACAGAGGTGGGATGACATGGCAGTGGTGGGACGGGGGGGTAGCAAAAGACCCTGAAGAAGAGACAGGAAGCCCAGGGGACCACGAGCCCAGGGCCACCTCACCTGTTGGTCACCTTGGGGTATCCATGCTGAGTGTCCAGGAAAACCCAATGGGCTGCTGCATTCTGCAGGGCCCCAGCCAGGACCAAGAGCAGCCAGAAGGGCCTGAAGGGTGGCTGCAGTTAGTGGCTCCTGGGACAGAGTTCCCCCCGCGCCCCCCGCCCAGCCGATCCCCATCACAACCCCTTACCAGGAGGATTCCAGGGACCGCAGGAGCAGGAGGTTTTTGCCATGCAGCAAGGGCATGAACACCAGGAAGGTGAGTATCATGGTCCCCAGAAAGAAGACAATCTGCTGTACCAGGAGCCCTGGGGGACAGGGACAGCAGGGGACAGATACAGGAGCTGATCCCCCCCACCCCCAGGAATCCAGAGCTTTGGAGCAAGGATTCCCTGGCTTCAACCTCCTACAGTGGTGCCACCTTGCCTGAGTCGTGCAAACTGTCTGAGCCTCAGTTTCCCCCTCTGAAAGGGGACCAAGGGGCATCAGGTCTGGGGCAGCACTTGGAAAACCAAAGCACTTTGCAAATGTTATTGCCTCTGCTTTCAACTGCATCCCCATGGACCAGAATCCCTTGGAGATCAGTGACTGCTTTCCTGTGACCCAGAGCAGGGACTGGGCAGATGCCAGGTCAGTGGCAATGGCCAGGCCTCCTGGTCAATGGAACATAGGGCCAAGGGCTTGTGGGCACATCAGATCATGGCTTTCAGCCCCAGGGATGCCTCTGCTCCTTATCACCCATCTCCTCCCCAGCAAGGCAGAGACAGAGGCACTGAAGGGAGGGACATGGGGCCTCGGAGTACACGCTGACTGGCCTCTCCCACAGTGCTGCAGTGCCCGAAGGGATAATCAGACATGCACTTCGAGGCACCTTCAAAGGCCTCCCATCTAGCTCTCTTGGAGCAGAGCACTCTCTGTGGTCTGCAACAAACCCATGTCTGCCTGCATCCCCCTCAGCACCACCCTCCCACACTACCTTGCAGGAGCAGGAATGTGCCACCCTGGAACTCACCACCTCCAGACATAGGCCAGCCCTGTACTCAAACCTAGTGGCAGCCAGCCCTGGGGCAGGCAAAAGAACTCCCTTCCCTGATGGCTCCTGCACCCCACTCCATCGGGAGGGCAGGCACCTTGGGGTGCCAGGCAAGGAGCTTACCAAGGCAGGTGAGAGCAGACTGGTAGGCACAGAAGCTCATCCAGCAGAAGATGGCTTTTCGGAACGGGCGTATGCCCCTTGCTGGGGGACCCAGGTCCAGGGTGGCCCCTCGGTACAGAGCTTGAAGATTGGCCCTGTGGTGAAAGGTAAGAGTGGCAGGGGCCTCAGGGGTGGGACACTCTCCCTAATCCCTCCCCAGCCCAGCCCCTGACCATACTCCAGGGCTAAATGCCACCACAGCCACCTGCAGGGACACCTAGAGCCATGTGGAGGAAAAGGCTACCCGCTCAGTCTCTGGGGGCTTCCTGGAAGAGCTGATGTCCAGGCAGAGTCTTCACAGGGTGTGGGGTGCAGAATGTGAAAAGGGGAGAGAAAGCCAGGTGAAGGGCTCCACCCAAACCAAGTCAGAACATCGGGGACCAGTGGTGGCAATGGGGGTGACACATGGCCACCAACACAGAGGCAAGGAAGACAGGTCCTCATCCCTAGCAGGTGGATGCTGGCTACCCTGTTTAATCCAGGGCTTCTCTGGGCCCCCGGGTTCCCTGCTTGGCCTCTCACCTGTGTGTGGCCAGTGAGCGGACCAAGAGCAAGATGCTGAGTAAGCAGGACAGGGTCAGGGCGGAGACATAGCACACTGTGGGGAGACAGGGCGGGCCTGGGGTCACAGAGCCTCTGACATCGCCCCCACCCTAAGACATAGGAGGCTCTGAGGCCATGCACCTGGCCTTCACTGCTGCAGCCCCCAGCGATCCCCAGCCTGGAGTCTCTTCCTGCCCTCCTATTCCAGTTGTGTGACCCCAGGAGGCATGAGCTCCTGCCATCTCCGTGTCACCATGTGCTCTCATGATGACTTGCCATCTGCCCACCAGGACAAGCCCACCATCAGACCCCACAATGCCTGCACTGGCCAAGCCTTTCCAGGGAGCAGAGTGGTGGGTGACAGGTTCACAAGGTCCCTGTGCCCCAGACCTGGCCTTTGTTCACCATCTGCCCACCTCTTGCTTCTCTCTCCTTCTGTTGGCTGCAAATCTGGAACCCATAATATCTTCCTGTCCTCTGCTGCCTCTCTGATCTCATCCTGTCCACTCTGGGCCCTGTTCGTGGCCAGAGCTGCCTTCCCATACCCACAAGACCCCCAGGATAAGAGTTCAGCTTTGCCTTCAGTGGGATAGGATCTCAAAGTCATGGTGATCCTCCTGCCTCAGCCTCCCAAGTGCTGGGGTTATAAGTATGCACCACCCCACCTGGAGAGTGGTGGCAATTTTGCAGGTAGAGAAAGTAGAGGCAGTCCTAAGACATCTGTTGGGCTAAGAGCAGACTCAAGGGCCCAAGCAGCGCCATCCCCTTCGTTAAGCCTGGCCAGAGAGAGGAGCCTGGGGCAGAACACAGGCCAGGGAAGAGAGGAAAGCGCCTGCCCTGCCCAACACATCTCAGACTAGCAGGTTCATTGAGGTACCCTGCCACCTCCCACGTAGGTGCCCCCTGTCTCCTCCTCAGCCCCGGCCCCATGGCCACACTCTCCTCTGTGGACATACCTGGAACAGCATCAGAGACACTGGGCCTGGGGTGGGGATAACCCTGAAGGTGAAAAGGGGTGGGGGCTCCCCAGACACGGTGCCTCAGATTCCAGGGACCTGGACTGAAGGTCCTAGCTTCTCCAGTGGTGATGATAGTGTCCAGAGACCCAGTTCTCATGTCAAGGGACCGGCCTGGCCCACCAGTCCCATGCCCATCATGGTCCCAACAGCCTCACCTTCCAGCGCCCACAGATGGTGCCGCACCAGCTCCACCACCTCCTGCCTGTCCTCAGACAGCACCACCCCGAAGCCAGCCAGCAGGTAGGACACGTCCGTGGTGATGCCTGCCCGCACCTTCTGCAGAGCAGGAACCACGCTTGCCAGCAGCAGCAGAGCCACCTGAGGAGCCAGAGAGCCTCCTGTGCCGAAGCAGTGCAGCCATGGCCTGTGGCTCTCAGGCAGGGCGTCCTGTGTGCTCCTTCAGGTCCCCGGGCCCCACAGCCACACAGTGTAGACAGAGACAGCATTAGCATGCAGGGCTGGACAGGGCTCTGACAGTGCCCTGCAAGGTTTCCTCCAACAATCTGCCTAACACCTAGCTGCCATCTATCATCTGCTCATCATCTATCCCTCGTCTGTGACTAACTGGTTGTCACCTGAGTTGGGTCAGAGCCATTTTAGACTTCACAGTCATGAGCAAGGGCCCAGAGGTGGATGACACTGTAGGGTACAAGATGTACCTGGTAAGTGGCGGTCCCTGTCAGGGTGGCTGAAATCACCAGCTTCAAGGGCAGGCGGAATCCTGCAGTCCCCAAAGAAAGGGGCGTGGTAAGGAGCAGCACCAGGCATAGCCCACCCTTCCAAAGGACCTGGGGAAAGGTCAGGATGCCAGACCACCAGGACTAGGCCAGGGGCTTCCACTATCCCAAAATGACAGTTGTCCCTCCTAGTGACAAGGTACCGTACCTGGCTGCGGAGTGTAGATGTAGCGCTGGGAGCAGTCCCAGGCCCGGGACAGGAAGCCCTGCTTGGAGGTGTGGCAGGACCTGCAGGAAGACCAGGTAATTGGGGTTACAGAAGAAACCAAGCTGCCCCTCATCTCTCCTCACCTGGCAGCCACCACCAGCCTCTGTCAGGTGCCTGGGCCTCACCAGCCTCCTGGCTTCTTCCGGCATAGGAGGCTCTTCAGGTATTCCTCAGTGTCGCTGCTCCACAGCCCCTGGGGACAGACAGGGATCCTTCCTGAGCTGTCCCCAAGGCTCTGGACACTGGTGGGGACACCAAACGGATCTCTGTAGAGACCTCCTGGCCATACAGGGCTGGAAAGGTGCAAGGCTAACCTTTGACCTACAGCAACATGACCCACACCTGACAAAGCTGCTCTGTTCTCTTCCATAAATCTAAGACCCCCTTAGCCTGCTCTGTGAGAGCCCCCTGGCCGAGACATCCTGCCAAGATCACCTCAGCTCTGTCTTGCTTCCATACCCATCCTGGCCCCTCCTCCCTGAGGTCCCCTAGCACACTGCTGACCAGGACATAGCACAGGGCGTTCCAGGGCAGGCAGCCTGAGCTGAAAGCCCAAGAATGTAGGCCATGGTCACCCGTTGCCGTGGAAACCTGGGCCTTGGCTGGAGTGGGTCAACTGAGCTTAACTGGGTCCTTTGTGGATTAGATCTCTTTGACCAAATCCAGAGAGTATTTATCCCTTTCAGGAGGAGAGGTGAGCAGGGGATCCTGGAGGCAGCAACCAACCTGGCACACGGCATATCCACATCCAGGGAAGCTGTGCTTCTCTCCTGAGCCCACTATGAAATGGGGGGATACAGAGCTCCCTAGAGGAGCATAAGTGACAGGAGAAGCCAAGTCCTCAGGCCCTGGGTCCCCAGCTTTTCTTGTCACCCCTCTGCCCTTCAAGGGCCTCTAGGGAGGCTTGTTCACCCTCCCTGCCAGCCTGGGATGCTGAGAGTTCAAGGCCAGCCTGAATGACATAGTGAGACCCTGTCTCGAAACATCAAAAATCAAAAACTATACATAGGAATAATCCACTCATCCCCAGGATCAAAAATACTTGCTGAGTATTTATTATGTGTTACTCTCTGCCCAGTCCCACCACGGTGAACATGAACAGAGCAGACACACAGCCCTCTCTGGCCTCCGTGACACTCTGTCCAACACCTGAAATGCCTGCTTCTTAGCACATCCTCCCCATTTTCAGGCTGCATCTGCCAATTTTTGGCTGCCTTCCACCAAAGGCTGGGTCAGGACACAGCTCTGCCTGGGGAGGGGACCTATGAGGTCATCCAGGAGTTCAGTGTGGACACATGCAGGGCCACACACATGAGGGACCTCTGCCTGGGGAGGGGACCTATGAGGTCATCCAGGAGCTCAGTGTGGACACATGCAGGGCCACACACATGAGGGACCCCTCCCAGGCTGTCCGTTTACCTCAGAGCCTGTCCCTGTCCTGCAGCTGGAGCTCTGTACCAGCTGTACTGGGTACCAGAGACTCAGGAAGCCAAGGCCCAGCAGGAGGGGCAGGGAGGCCAGGAGGGAGTAGTATTTATAGACCTGGACAGACAGATAGAGACAGACTGATTGCTTCCAGCCTTCTCCTTCAACCAAAACCAAATCCACTTCCCTTCCTTTCTCATCCCCCAAGGACCCCAGGATGACGGGAAAGTCACCGCAAGCTTCTGGTTCTCCCGTGCCCCTGCCCTGTGAGCACACCTACTCCTGAAGCCCACAGGCCTGACAGAGCCAGAGGGAGGAGACTACACAGTTCCACCTCCAATTCCAGGTTCCATCACCTGGGTTCCTTTTCCAGTATGTTAGGACACAGGTCTTCCAGAAATTAGATGATAGCCTAGTTCTGTGTAGGTATAGTTTGCAACCTGAGCATCAAGTTCCGAGACTGTAGGGTCTCCTCTGAACCCCTTGCCTACTCAGCACTGGGCACTTCTACCTGACTTCCCCTCTCTCCTCTCTTCCCTCCTTTTCCCTCCCATTCCATTCCCACTCCCGCCTGACCAAGGGAGGCTGGGCTCAGTGATGGGGATCATAAGCTTCCCCTCCTTGCCTCGGCCCCCCCACCAGCTGCCTTGTCCCCTGCCTCATCCCTAGAAGACCCAAGCTTGGCACTGCTTGTGCCTGGAGGCATGGAACTCATGCATAAGGGAGAAGCCTGGCACACAGAGATAAAACTAGCCATGCAGGTCCAAGCCATGTGCATCCTTCACTCTGAGCCACTGAGTTAGTGGTTTACCTTGGGTGCTTGGGGACACTCAGCCCTCTGCCAGACGTGGACGCCCAAGTGGGCCCAGGACAGCACGCTCCCAAGCAGGTATGCAACTCTGTGCCTGGCTGTGGCACAGGCGGCCAAAGGGTAGTAGAGAACAGGGTAGTAGAGCAGGGCCAGCATCTTCCAGGGCCCTGGGCAGAGAGACATGCGCTGGAGGGGCCTCTTTGCTGTCTCCGCCCACACCCGTCAGCCAGTGATCCAGCAAGAACGGGGTGAGCTCCACATATAGCACTTAGCGCATAGGCCATGGAAGGACTGACTCTGTAACTCAGCTGCTACTGATGACTGCTTTCTCTCTGGCTTCTGGTTCCCTCCGCTGTAAAACAGGGGACTATCCACATCTCTAGAGGCCATGCAGCAGGGCATCACTGCCTGGAGCCCACCCCATCACCCAGCCCAGGCTGTGGCTGCATGGTATACCTGGGCCAGGTGTGTAGGTGAGGGGCAGGAAGGGCAGTGGATCTTCACTGGGTAGCAGAAGGCACAGGGCGCTGAAGAGGACCATGAAGACAGCAGCAGGCACGGCCCAGGGTCTGTGCCCAGCCAGGAAATCCACAGGGCTGGCACCGAGAGGAGGACAGGTCAGGAGGGGGTCAGCAACCCCTGTACCTGGATCACCCCTGGGATGTGTGTAGAAACTGGGGAGATGGAGAGCACCTGCCTCTCCATCATCTACTCAACTGGGGTTGTTTGTGCAGCACCTTTATCTCCCAGCTCCCTCTGGGCTGTGCCTGGCAAAGGACAATGAACGCGCGCCCAGCAGGGACAAGCCCCGGCAGCAGCCTTGCTCCCTGCACCCACCAGGAAGCAGCAGGAAACGTGGCCTCCACACTACCCTGCTGTCTGTGTGGGCTGGCAGGGCTTCAGAGCGCTGGGAGCCACAACATCCTTGTGTAACAGCCACCGCCCTGCCAGGGCAGGACCAGGCCCCAGCAGACAGCATGCACAGCTGCCCTAGCGTTGACCCCAACCCCTGTGGCTTTGGCCCAGGCTCCCTGCTCAGCCAGGGCCCCCTGCCGGTCCCTACAAAGGCTCCATTACCCCCTCCCCCAGCCTTGTGGTGTCCTCTGCAACTGCAGGCCCAGTTCCATCTCCTTGAGGTCACCTGTCCCAGGCTCTGAGGTGACACAGCTGGAAGAGAAAGTTCCACTGAAAGGAAGGTCATTCCCTCTCTCTGCATCAGGCAGGGTCCCTAGACACCCTCAGGGGTAACAGGGAGTGGTTAGGCAGGCAGCAAGACACTGAGGGCTGCCTGAGAGCTTAGTCAGATCTCTCCTGCCCCTCAGCAGGTCCCCTGCCCACCCTGGGGCTCCAGAATACAACAGGAAAGCCCCAGTCAGAAGCGGGGTGTCACTGACTCAGAGCTGGCTCCTCATGCCCATCATTCTCCTAGAAGGCTCTGAGTCAGGGCACACGAGCCCACCTGGGCAGACGAGGCCCTCCTCGCCCAGAGCCGGGCCGGAGCCGGTGGCACAACAGCAGCCAGAGCAGCAGCAGCAGGACGAGCATCTGGAAGAGAAGGCAGGAGAGACTGGGGTTCCAGGCCTCCCCCAGGGCCTGACTCCAAAGCCTTGGCCCCAGTCAGTCCCAAAGCACCCAATACCCAACCAGGGCACACACACACACACACTGCCATCTTGGATGCTGCTTTGGATTTGGCCTGCATGCAGCTCGGATCCCCACCTGGGGCCAGCCTCAATACCCACTTCTGGGGACTGTGAGCCCCTACACCAGTCCCTGTATCCAGGTAGGCACACACAGCAGGCCAGCTGGACTCACCGACAGTACAGCCAGGCAGGCATGGCACAGGGCAGGTGGCACACTGGGCTGGCAGGAGGGCACCTCCCTGTGGGGCAAAAAAAGGCTGGCTCAGCCTGGGACACTTGGAACGCAGCTGGGTCTGAGGCCAAGGCTGTGTACACTGCAGCTCCACCCAGCACCTCCCTCAGCCTTCTGCCCTTTCCGACACAGCTGCCCAATGCCCTAGTTCCCAGTTCTTCCTGTACTAACTGCTAGGGCACTGGGGCTCTGGGGCTGAAGACCATGGGCTCCCAGGGAAGCCAGCCTGGCCAAACCATCTGCTCTAGCTCACCCAAAACCCCTGTCCTTCAGGGTCTGCCAGCCTGTCCTACCAGGTTCACCCAGGTAGGGACTCAGCATGCTGTCCCCAGAACAGCTGGACCATTTCCCAGAGGCCTCTGCCCCAACCAGGAGCCACACTGTGAGCAGGGCCCTGATGTCCCCATCTGACACTCAGCTGTGTGTGCTCACTCCATGAGACCCCGTTTGGGTAGCCATGTGTAGATTCCTGTTTTGTGTCATAGGACAGGAAGGGACATTCCCAAAGGGATTGAGAGGGAGGCTCCAACCCAGGAGAGGCACAGGCATAGGTAAAGGATACCAGGAAGAGGGATGGGCTTTGATTTGGGTGTGTGCTAGGATTGGCATCTCTCTGGGCAAAGAAGAGAAAAGGAAGCCCTGAGGAAGAGGAAGAGGTGAAGAGGATGAGGAGCAGGATGAGAGCCAGGTGGGAGACAAGGTAGCTGGCACCAGGTTTGATGGTGGCCCAGAGGTAAGATTGACCAGTTTAGAGGAGGTTCAGGGGTCCTGGGAGCATTAGGGTGTCCAAGCAGGGTCGTGTCCCAGCATTTGGGAGGTTTCTGCAGCTGAGCCCACCCTAGCCAGAGTCACCAGTGCCCACCAACCCCAGCTACAGCCAAGAGCACAGTGGATCACCACATGGAGTCCTTTACACCATCCCCGGGGTGTCTGACTCACAGGGAGAAGGTGAGCCCAAGTTCATAGCCTTGGGATTCCCCTGTTCCCTGCCTTGGGATTTCCCTGTCCCAGCTTCCTGCGCCCCATTTGGGTAGGGGCAGGTGGGAGGATTAGCAAGTATCTCTTCTTGGTTTTGCTAGCTAAGAAGACTCGGAACACCTGCTTTACCTGCAGGGGCTGTGTTCCATGGTGGAAGACAGGGGCTGCAAATTCCATTTGCCACCCTCATGAGGGGCTGCACCTCTACCACATCCTAGCTCTCAGGGGCCCCCAGGCTCCCAATTTTATTTGGAGATCATATCTCTGGTCACAGAGCTGGCTATAGGTATCTGGCCCCTAGCTAATGCCTAGGCCCTGGCACTCCCAAGGACATGGCTTCTGTGAGGGCTTAGCCAGGCAGGGCTCTCAGTCCACCAGACTCCTTCCCAGCCCATACCCACACACACTTGGCAGGGACCCAGGGAGCCCAGTACCCTCGGGGACGGCTGAGGAAGCTAGTGGTGTGCACCTTTGCTGCCTTTCAGGTGGTCAGAACCCCAAGTTCTCCAAACAACAGGACTTTCCCCCAGGCCTGGCCAGGCTGTAGCCCCAGCCCTGAGGAGGTGTAGGAGCATTTTTCCTTCTCTAGTTTCAAGCTTTAATGGAGAACAGATGTACACACATCAGGCTCAGTGTGTATGTGTATGTATGTATGCACGTGCACGCGCGTGCACACACACGCGCGTGCGCACACACACACACACACACACAGTCTCACCTTTCTAGTCCCCTAAACCCTCAGACAGAGCAGGGAGGCAGGGGGATGGGTCCAGAATTAACCAGGGAAAACTTGGCTCTAGATTTCACATGGCTGGGTGACCCTGGCAGCAGGTAGGAGGCATAGAAAGGCCCAGCTCCTCCACCAGAGTGCCCAGACTAAACTACAATGGAAAGGACCTGGGCCAGGAGTCCTCAGGCCACCCCAAGGTGAGCTCGCTGCCTGCCTCCCTCCCCACCGTACCCCGGCCCAGCACCTTTCCTACAGAAACAGGACCTGTGCAGCCGATCTCCTGAGACTCAGCTGTCCAAAGCCAACAGAGTGGTGAAGTTTGCCTAGAAATCCACTCCAAACCCTCTCCTTTTGTCCTGGTTCTCTGCCTCTCCACCTTCCCAGCAGGCCCGAAAACCTGGCACCTACTGTAAACCGCATACCATAAATGTCACCACAGGGATCCCGTCTAGCCCCCTGGCCAAGCTCCTCTTTCCTAACTGCCAGTCAGGTCACCAGGAGCACCCCAGTCTTGCAAGGCCAGGGTACACAGTGCTGTCCACCAGCCTGGCCCGGGTTCCCTTCTCCTCAAGCATTTTAATAGCAGGGTGGGGTTGTTAAGAACCAAATACAGACCGAAGCCCAGAGAGGCTGTGGCTTGTCTAGGGTCACACAGCAAAGGAATAACCAAACCAGTCCTTGCCTGGGGTCTGAGCCCTATGTCCCACTCTGATGGCTGTCAGAGTGGGGCTGCCACACTCACCCCTCTGGCTGGAGTTCCTTGTCCTCCAGGGGCTCGTCGATGTACCAGCTGCTGTAGTCATCTGCAGCCCTGGAAGAGGTCTGGTTCTCTGCTGCCTGGGACAAGGACATTCTCAGGTGTTTCTCCTTTGACCCCCAGACAAGAGTAGGGGGGAAAAAGTCACTAAAATGTGAAAAGAGGCCTTAAAAAGAAAGAAAGAAAGAAAGAAAGAAAGAAAGAAAGAAAGAACTCAAACAAAGAGAGATTTCTTTTTAATCCTAAAGGTTACTTTCTTGCTTTTGGCTCACTGGGAAAACCTGGCCTGGGACAGCAGGCCTGGGAAGGCTGGCACAGGAGGAGGGGAAGAGCCTCTCCTGTCCCCTCCTGTCCCTTCCCGCCCAATCCTGCCCAGCCCGCAGAGACAGTTATCTAGATGCTCCCCTCGGGGTCCCTGAGCTCTGGCGGCAGACCTATCTGGCTGTCTGAACGGCCTCTGCTCAAAAGACCATTTGCACAGATGTTCCCGGTGTGTAGTGCACAGGCCCCAGAGACCCCCTTCCTTCCCCGCCCATCCCACAGATGGACCCACAGGCACAGGCAAAGGGAGAACAGAGAGGAAGGAGCTCCGGAGATGAAAGGGTGGGCGGGCGGTGGGCGGCTCCACTCCGTCTGCCCGGTCAGGCCCTCCCAGCTGGGCTCCCACACCTCCTGCTCAAGGGATCTAGCCTGAGCCCCCACCTTTAGCCCATGGTCCCTGGAGATCCTGGCCAGTCTCCCCTTTCCCTGTCTGACCCCTGCACCCTTGGACAGGCACACACCATCATCCTTAGTGAAGCCCCATCTGACCACGGGACCTGCGTGCCTGTCCTCAGCACCTGCCCCAGCACCCCTGCACCTCTGCCCACTGAATCTGCAAAATTAGCAATGGCAGCAGCCGAGGGAGGGAGGGATGGAGGGAGGGAGAGAGAGAGACAGAGACAGAGACAGAGAGAGAGAGACAGAGACAGAGACAGAGAGAAGCTGGGCTGTCTTCTGGCATGTCCAGGAAGGAGGCCACATGCCTCTCACTGGTGGAACCTTTTTGTTCCTATAACTTGATTTCACAAGAAGATAACTCACTCCCAAAGGCGGAAATGAGTCCTTAAAATATGAACAGACCCACAGGCAGGCAAGCAGCATCCCGCCTCCTGTTGATCCTCCTGCCTAGGCCTAGGTTCCCCTTCCCTCCTCCAGGGGTACCTTGTGGCCACCCCTTGCAGGAACAGGCGAGGCAGAGAAAGTTCTCAGTCACATATCAGGGTGGAGGTGCAGCTCCTTGAAACTTCCAGGGTTCCCATCCTTCCAATATTCCACGGAATGGGGGGCATGCATTTGCTCCTTCCTACAGAAACTCATGGGATACCCACTATGAGCTCATACCTACTGTGTGCCCAGTGTGTTCCCTGGGACTGGTAAGGGTTCTGTTCTGGGGAGCAGGGCAAATTCCAGAGCCAGAGAGTGTCTGCCGTTCCGGCCCACTGAGAAATCGGCTCTCTGACTCAAAGCAGCCTGACACAGCTGTACTCTGCCTCTCCTTCCCCTGAGCACAGGGTCTGCTCTGTGGGAGTCTTTGGAAAAGCAAAGGCCTGGTTTATTTCAGTGACTGTCATTGGCCATAGGCCTGTCTTGTTTGCTCTTTTTTTTTTAACTTTTTATTGGTACCAGGGATCGAACTCATGACCGCCTGCTTGCAAGACAGGTGCTTATGCCACTGAGCTAAATCCCCAGCCCCTCATAGGCGTGTCTTGTAAGGCAAAGTCACCAGCCAGGCTTTCTAGAGTCCTCTGCTTAACCGCCAGGGCCCCTGTGCCCTTCACTGCTCAGGGGTCTCAGATTTTAGCTTGGGAACCATCAGCTCTCATCTGATTTTAATCCCCATCACAAGACTCCACCAATTGGAACCTCCCACTTGCAGGGACGCTCGCTGCCTGTACAGGCAGAGCTGCTGGGGTTGAGAACCTCTGCCCCATACCCCATCGGAACCATGTCCTGCCCAACTCTGCCTTCACTCATTCATTCAACAAATCTTCTGTCTTCCATGACAGGTAATGCTGCTGCTATGGCAGCAGAGGGCAAACCCTGCACCTCAGGGGGACTGAACAGGCAATGACATGGAGAGGACAAACCCATGTCCTACTTGCTGAGGGACATGAGGTACGGAGAAGAAGGAGACAGAACTGGAGCTGACTATTCTAGGTGGGGGTGGGGCAGGGAAGGCTGCATTGGGATGTTCAGCTTGTGTCCAGAGGGAAGGAGGGAGGAGGGGGGAGAGGGCCTTTTCAATCTTAGGGGTGCAGCCTAACAAAAAAGACCCCCCAAATCCAGGCACAGTCACTCTCTGCTCTGGACCAAATTTGTTCCCTGCAAAAGACTTCCTGTAGATAGTGTCCACTCTTGTGACCCCCTCCTGAGTTCAGTACCCATGGGGCCTCCTAGGGAGATGAAGGTGGGTGCGGGGTTAGCAGGGTGGAGCAGGTAGGGAGGAGGAGCCTGCCAAGGGAGAAGCAGCTGTCTCAATCTGAGTTCCAGGCTGGCCCTGGGCCCTGTGAGTCCTTCTCTCTCTGGGTCTTGGCCCCACCTCTATCACTTCCAGCCCCCAGATTCTTCTATTGTGGGCACCCACCACCCTCATGGGCACACACACATTCCCTATCCTCCCGCAGTGACTTCACAGCTCAAGAATGCAGAGCCAGCTCACGGGACCCAGTGGTAGAAAGCAGATCAAAGCCACAGAGTTGGTCAGGCTGCCCAGGTGCCCACTGCCTTCCTCCTGCCCCCCTTCCCCAGATCCACCCCCCTCAGCCACCCCAGGGACCAGCTTGGATGAAGAACCATGGTTGCCAATGGTCACACAGCTCTAGCTGGGAAGCAGACCCATGACTTGAGCCTGGGGCATCCATCTGCAAGTGGCAGTCTGGCTCAAGGATGTCAGGAAGGAGCCAGCTGGGGGAAGGGGGACAGTAAGGCTGCACCCTTGGAGGACTTCACCAAAGGCCTGGGCAGCACGGTCATGAGAAGGAACTGGCAAGCAGGGGCTCTTGGAGATATCTTCAGGGGCTCAGAGGAGGGAGAAAGGACAGGACTTAGTCAATCTTTAAGGCTACTTGGAGGAAGGAGTACAGAAGCAGAGAGGGCCAGGAATAATAATTCACAAGGATGAAGAATAGCAAGAATGAATAAGCATCTAGGGAGAGCTTGGGAGGAGCAAGAAGTGGACCGGGCCACCCTCCTGCAGGGCTGGCACAAGCCCTGGGCCACTCTGAGAAGGGACACGCCAAAGTCACCAGAGCATCCCTGGCCAGTAGAGCCCCAACCAGGCATGGACAGGATGCTAAGCCCTGCCCGCTATGGGAGAAGAAATCCTCAGATTTTCTGCGCTCAGCCAATGAAGCTCATCTGGCATCTGGGCCTGGCATGGGGTGCCTGCTCCCCGGCTGCAGCTGGCTGGTGAAACCCTGGTACAGGGCTTCCTTCCTCCATGTGTTTTTGTTCAAGCTGATTAAACCCAAGGAATGTTTGTGTCCAGGAACAGACGCCACGTGCATGCCCTTGGCTGCCTGTGGTTTTCAAAGCCTTGTAGGGCAAAAAGCTAAGCCCAGAGAAGGCCAGAAACATCCCCAGGACATCAGAAATACTCCTTGGATCCCCAATGTCCAGAGTACCTGCAGGAGTTCAGCAAATTTCCAGAACTTCAGTGTCACCCTCGGACCCCTCCAAAGCTTCCACATGGTCCCCCAGGAACCCCCAGAACTGCAGAAACCCCACAGAACTGGTGTCACACTGCAGGACCTCAGCAACACTCATGGGATGCTGAGCCACTGGCGGTGAATCAAGCCTGGGTCACAGCAAGATGGCCCACAACCACAGTGAGCAGCCGACACTCAGCCATACCTCAACCCCACAATGTAGTATGACACCCAGCAAGAATCTGCCAGCCAGCAGCCGGACTAGGAGGACCAGACCTGTGTGCTTGCCTGAGGACCCTTGCAGCTGGTGGGTGAGTAGCCAAGCAGGTCAACCCCAGGAGGGAAGGCAGGGTGCTGCTCATGTGTGCATGCACACAGGCATATACACATGCATGCATATACATACCGGTGTGCCTGATGCACATACACACATACAGAGCTGCACACACATTCATGCACACGCACACTTGTGCACACACATGCACCCGAATGCACACACACTTGTGCAAACATGCACACCACATGCACAAGTACACCACAAAAGACCTAACACACACGGAGCTTAGCTCTGGCCCACCTAGTCTGGTCTGCAGTGAAGGGGTCTGGGAAGCAAGGCTGCTGGGCCCAGAGCAGAAGTGTACTGGAGTCTGTCCTCCTGTCTTTAGTGCCATGCAAGAGGCTCAGACCATCTGCGATGTGCTCATCCCAGGATTCTCATGGTGTTGCACCAACAGCACCACCTTGACAAGAGGAACTTAGGCCACCCTACCCTGAGACGAAGGTAGACACTATGGGGAGAAGGAGAGATGAGGAGAAGGAGGAGAGGGATAAAGAGGAGGAGGAGGGTAGCCTGCTGTTCCAGGGGAGTGGTGTGCTCTTCCTTCCCAGAAGGCTGTGTTAAAACTGGCTTGAAGGAAGGAAGGGAGGGAGGTAGATTTGAGCTCCAGACAAAGGCAGATTGCTTACACTCATAGAGTAGCGAGACTCCCTTCACGGGAGGCAATCAAGAAAATGTGACATCCAGCTGCCCTGGCCAAAAGGGCACAGGACTGGTCAGCTGTGCAAGCTCTGATTGTCCTTTCATAGCTCATCCTCGCTGGGGTGGCACTACCACAGCCCGGCCTTAGAAAGCAGGCTTTGTGCTGGGCGCCGGCTGCTGGGCAGATCTCTGCTGACACAGGACAGCCTCATGCTATAGCAGTCGGGCCCCACTCAAAGTCGTCTCCTGACTTCCTTGCCCTTTGGGGCCCACACTTGCTTCCTCAACCCACCCTGTCCTGCCTCTTCCAGGCTCAGTGCCTGCTCTCCCCCTACCCCATCTTCTCCCTGCTCCCACCTGTCCTGGTCCTACCTGGTCTTTCAGCTCAGCTCCAGCCCACTTCTGCCAGGACTCTCCTGTCCTTACACCCTGCACCTCTTCCTTGTCCTCTACTATCACTCTGAGATGCTGCATGGTGCTCCCTAATACTAGAGCCGCCTCCCTGAGCCCCAGCACCCACTCGAGCTGGGGTCCCAGAGAGAGGGCTGGCTGTAGGTCTCAGTCACTGGCCCCAGCAGAGTCCCCGCCCCCCCCCCCCAACCCCTGCACCTGCTTTAAAGGATGTGTGGTCTCCTCCTCAGGAAGGCAGCCTGGGCCCTGCCCCTCCTCCTGCCCCCAGACCTTGGCTGCTGTTATTCTGGAGCCCACCCCACCCCCTTCCCTAGAGCTCAGACCCAGAGCCTGAGGCCCCACACACAGACCCTGGTCCCCTGAGCAGGGCCTCTCCACCCGCCCCCCAGCCATTTGCCTGAAACTTGATCCCCTTGGTCCTCCAAGTCACCCCAGCAGAGAAGCCTGCACAGGGCTTTGATGGCTGAGCTTCTCCAGCTGTGGTCAGGAGGGGCTCAGGAACCCCCCTCACCTTCCCACATTTGTCACCATCCCTCAGTCCCAGGGGGTCACAGCCTGATGAATTGCACAGAGCTGGCCACCAGCTCAGATTTTAATAGGCAATCAGTTCCCTGCTGATGCGGGGGGGGGGGGGGGCTCAGTACACTTGCTGGGTACATCCATTCAGGGGACCAAAAGGCCCCCTCAGAACTTCCCCTCCACACTCCTAGAAAAGCAGGGTCTGGTTCTTCACCCCAACCATTCCTGTGCACCCCAGAGGGTAGAGAAGGACAAGAAGTGGGTGCTAAATTCTCAAGAGGAGGGAAGCTGGGCAGGCTGCCCCTGCCTCTTTAAAGCAGAAAGGCTGAGGCATGTCCAGTGGATCAAAGAGCAGTCCATGATCAAAGAGCAGCCCAAGGGCCTTAGGAAGTGCAGGAGAGAGCCCAAGACAAGGCAGGGAAGCCATCCTGTCCCCAATTTGAACCTGAGTGCCATGTTCACCATGGAGAATTGCTTGCAAGTAGGAAGGATTAAATCCACAGAGAGAAATAATGTTTGGCTCACTTTGAGGAACCCAGCCTCAAGAAAGACTTTGGTGGTCAGGCATGGTGGCTGAGGCAGGAAGATTATCAAGAATTCAACGCCAGCCCGGGCTATATAGTGAGTTCAAGGCCAGCCTGAACTGTGTTGTGAGACTTTGTCTCAAAAAACCAAAACAAAAGAAAACAGAAAGGCCTAGCTAGATATGCAGACAAAATGCCCAAAACTGTTTATTTATGGCAAGAAATTGGCAGCAAGCCCGATAGCCATCACAATTGGTTTTGACGGTGTACGTGTTAAAGAGCTTCCAGATATGGCGGAACTTCCTGGACACTGGCCAAAAATGGTAGCCCAGACAATACAGAGAAGGTGAGCCTGGCGGGCAAGTGACAAGCAGTTGGCAGCCTCACCTTATGCGGGGAGAATTTTCATATGTTGGAAACCTTGTGTTGCCTGTGTAATTGTTTTTAATAAGCAAAAGGAAACTGTAAGGCTGCAGGGAAGACTGATGGAAGGAACCACTAGGCCCTGTGAGTAGATTGTACCCTCAGCCCAGTCTTGTTCAACCCCTAGCCTCCCCTGAAGTTAGTGCAGCCTTGAGATTAAGTATTGGCAGGGAGACAGAAAAAGGAAGCAGAAAGAGATTGCGACTCCCAGTGTGTCCAGAGCTCTGACACAGCCACGGGAAACCTAAGCCCAGGGAGATCCCTGGGTGCCAGGATCAGCAGCTGGGCTGGAAGTTTTGCCTAAGACCTCTCCAGCCCCCAGGTCCATCACACAGCCCACTGCCCTCTCCCCAGGAACCTCCTTTCCTAGAGTGAGGACTCTGCTCTACTCTGTGGCACAGAAACTCCGCAGGGGTGGAGGGGAAAACCCTAAATTGCTTCATTTAGCAGGCCTCAGCATAGGTGCCCACTGTCGGCCTCCGTCACTCCTCTGTTAGGCTTTGTCATGTTTCACTGTCCTTCTGTCTGCCCTGTCCACGAGTCTCTTTTTATCTCTATTATTGTCACCCTTTCTGTCTGACTCAAACTGCCAGGTCTTTTCCTGTTGTTTTTTTTTTTTTTTCCTGTGCGGTGCGGTACCAGGGATTGAGCCCAGGGCCTTCACACTGAGCTGCATTCCCAGCCCTTTTTTAACCCTTTTATTTTGAGACAAGGTCTAGCAGAACAGGCTAGACTTAAACTGTAATCTTTCTGTCTCAGCTTCACTGAGATTACAAGTGTGTGCTGCCAAGTTAAATTTCCATCTCTTTCTTTCTCTGACTGTGTGTCTCTCTATAACTCTGTCTTTTCCTTTTTGTTCTGTGTGTCTCTGTTTCTCTGTCCATCTGTCTCTCTCTGTCTCACTCTCTCTTTCTGTTTCTCTATGTCTATGAAGTTTGTTCCTCTCCTCCTAACAGTTTCAGGCAGTACCTTTTCCAAGCTGGCCCCTGCCCCACTCCAATCTGACCCAGGGCCAGCTTGGACTGACTTGGGGCCGCCCTATTAGCTCGGTTCCTCCCACTCCTTACCTGCTCTCTGTCCCCAGTGGTGCCACAGAACAGCTGGCATTGGTCTCAGAACCCCAGGGTGGCTTCCCCAGCTGGGTTGAGCGCTGGGAGCCTGCCTGGGCAATTGTCTGGCGCATGAAAGCCAAGGCCAGCATGGCTGACGCTGCAGGGACGCTGCCCCCCTCCCTATTGCCCAGGAACTTTAGCCCCTGGGGACCAGGCTAGGAGGAGGGGATTGGCAGGGGAGCCAGGGGATCCCCAGGGCCCCTCCCACAGCTATATTCAGCTGAGCTAGGGCAAGAGGGCTTCTCAGAGCCCCCAGAATTTTCTGCCTGTGCCTGGCTAGACTGGTGCTATTTCAGGGATGGTGTCCTTTGGCCAGGGACTCAGTGGAGGGAAGAAGACCCCCGGTCTCTAACTTTGTCCTTGTTCCTTAATAGCCAAGGACACAAACACAGACCTTCTAGGCTCCTGGTCACATACTTTCCCATCTGTGCCGTGGAGATGAAGGTACCATGCCTCACCCTTCCAGCCCCAGGATGAGGTTACCCCCAAAGCTTTGACCTTCAGTCTTAAAGTGAAGGGTGAGGCCCATGAGGGTAGGGACACTGCAGATGAGCAGGGGGTATAGACCCCTTGGAGTGGCAGTGACCCCAAGTTCACTGTCCCCACCCATCTCACCTCTAGAGGCTGCTTCCTCCTTCTGGCAGGGGCAGGGTCACAGCCCAGGTAAGGCTGCACTCACCAGACTCATTGACATCCAGCTCAGAAGGAGGCTAGGCCAGGAACAGTAGGTGGGCCCTTGGGAACTGGGGTCTAAGAGCCCCAGGGGCCCTTGAGGTGGCAGCAAAGAAGGTTGAAAGGAGCCATTGTGGAAATAGGAAGAGATCCCCCCCTCTCTACATACCCCTATCCCACCAGCCTATTTACAGGCCTGGGCTTCTCCACAAATCCAGTAGTCATTTTATGCAGAAGAGAGAAAGGAATTCAGTGCTCCATTGCACCTCCCAGTGCTGGATGGCAAAGGTGGCTTGGAAGTCATTCTTTTGGGGCTCCCCCACCCACCTCTTGTCCCATCCCCCACCAGCAAGAACCTCACCTGGTGCTGTCAGACCCCTGGAGAGCTGCCGAGGCCCAGTCAGGGAAGAAGTTAGAGGCAGAAAGAAGCCTGGGGTGGGGGCAGGGATCTGTCCTGCTTGCTGCTTCACCAGCCTCTGCTATAAAGTGGGGTGCTGCCAGCCCCAGCATGCTGACATTCCCTCAGGGGGCCAGGCTTTCTCTGTGGAACTGAGGCCAGGTGGAGGGCAGCCAAAGCCTCAGCAACCCCTCCCTCCTGCCCGGATACTCACCCCTTTACCACTGTCTTCTCTCCTGGGCACCAGCTGGACCAGGGGGCACCTGATGCATCTCTGAGGCCAAGTTTGATTCAAAACCATGCTTCTCATGGATGGAATCCTCATGAAATGGCCACAAGCAGAAGCTGAGCTGGTTTTGTTTATCAATGCATATCGCCTTCAGTCCATCAGCCCATCCATCCATCTATCCATCCATCCATCCATCCATCCAATCATTCATCCAGTCATTCCACCCATTGATCCATCTATCCATCTATCCAGTCCTTTATCCACCCATCCTCCATCCACCATACCTACCCATCCATAATGCTTCAACCATTCCCCAGGCCCCTAGCCCTGTCCTGAAGGAATATTCCATCCAGCAACCACAGGTTATAGTTGGGGACAGAAGAGAAAAGGGCAGAATCATGCCTGGGTCTCAGTTGGGCTGCTTGGGAGGCTCTGGGAAGAGCAGCAGGAGGGGGAAAGGGCAGCCTAGCCTGGGTAAACATCCTTCCCCAGAACACTCTGCATCCTGAAAGGAGCCAGTCCCAAAAGGACATATGCTGTAGGACTGCACATGTGAGTGCCCGGAGCAGGCAGAATCCAGAAGAAGGAGAGTAGCAGGGTGGATCCCAGGCCAGGGAGAAGGGCGTGGGGGTGGGGGTAAGGAGTGTTGAATGGATACAGTCTAGATACAGTTTCCGTTTTTATGAGGTGGAAAGAGTTCACATTTGAGAATGGATAAGATGGTAAATTTTATGTTGTGCTGTTTTACCACCGTTTTGTTTTTTAAATAACCATAGGCACAGAGCAAAAAAGGTGAGGCTTCCTTGGGGACAGAGTACAGAACAGGGTATATATGCCAGATGGTGGAGGGCACTAAGCCACACTAAGGCCAATACATTGTAAAAGGTGGAGGGGGAGGGGAGAGTGGAGAGGAACTCAGGCACGCTTACTGTAGACGACAGACACTGGGCATAGTCTTGGCTTGCAGAGCATGGGGCTGGGGTGCAGAGGTTGCCCCTAGGGCAGAGAGAGAAGATGCCCCTGTTGCAACCTCTCTGGGGGTCACTTCAAACATGCAAGGGAAAAGTGCTGCTCCCCCTCATCGTGATGTCGAAGGCCATGGCTAACCAAGCACCACCATAGGCACAGTGGTTTCAGGGCAGCCTCGGCCCCATCCTCTCCCTGTCATAGCCATCCTGTGACTCTTCTCAGTGTGCCTTAGAGTTTCAGGTAACTGAGCTGAGGGCTGACTTACCCACCCCATTCCCATCCAGTGCATGGAAGGGGACCTGGATAACGAGAGATGGGATCTGTTGAACTTTCACCTATAGGTCCGAGCCTCGGTTACCCCTGGGGGAACCTAAAGAAATTGAGTTTCAGTCATTACAAAGGAAGCCTGCTACATATGCTGAGCTGGGCTGGCCTCAGCTGGGCTGGCCATTGCATGTGCATCTCCCTTTATGGAGATAGCATGTTCTGGCCAACATAACTCCAAGTGAACTTCTTTTTAGTGCAGTCTACACTGTACATAAGTGTTCTCTTCAGACTATGCATTGTTGGTACAAAATTCCCCAGAAGAATGAGTTCCTATCCTTGAGCTAGTCCCAGGACATGTTTAACAGGGGCGAGTGTAGACAAGATTCCTAGATCGTCATCTCAGCTCTTATTTACTAGCCGTGTGAGCTGGGAGGAGTCTAATTCTCTCAGCTTTGGGTTCTCCAGTTAAGACACAGAAAATAATTATAGCGGCCTCACAGACCAGCACAAAACTGCCTGGTGCCCAGCAGCTACTTAACAAGAAGTCTCATCAATGATGCCGATGATGGCATTGTCAAGGATGACAACGATGGAGGAGGCAGTGGTGGTGATGGTGGTGATGGTGGCCGAGAGGGTGATGATGGTGGTGTGGGTAGTGCTGATGCTGAGGACAGGTAATGATAGTAGCAGTGATCATGCTGGTGACAGTGGGGGTGGTTATGAGAGTGGTGGTGGCAGTAGTGACAGTGGCCATGGGAGCAGACAGTCCTTACTGAGGAAGATCCAGAATCTCCCAACTCCCACTGGGTATCAGGAAGACCTGGGTCAGGGAGGAAGACTCCAGCTCAACAACTCTTTGGTATGAGGGCCTGCGGGTAGAGCTGAGCTGGACCCCATGCTGTGAGTGCTGGTGACCTGGCTGCAGAGGAAGGCATGAAGGCCCCTCCTTTTGGCCCCCAAACCCAGGATAAAAACTCCTGGTAATGAAGGGCATGGCACATGGAGAAGTGCTCTACAGAAACGGGACACTCTGACTACCAGAGACCCATGCCACACATTTCTGATCCTGCTCTAATGTTTGTGCATTTGTTTGTTTGTTTGGGACAGGGTCTTGCTATGTAGGTCAGCCTGGCCCTGAGTTCACTAAGTGGCCCACGCTGGCCTCAAACTTGTGATGATCTTCCTGCCTCTGCCTCCTAAGAATTCAACTCCTCCCAGAATTACAGGTATGTATACCAGGGCTTGCTTTCCTGCCCTAATTTTAGAATCTAACATCGTCTAGCACACATCGTGAGTTACTTATTTTCTGTATTTCATATTCATTTTGTCTTCACCACCTTCCCCACCACCACTAGAAGATAAGTATTCTCAGGAACACAAAGACTTTGGATCCATTGCTATATTTCAAATGCCTGAAACAGTGCTGCACACACGGTAGGTGCTGGAACAAATGCTACAAGGGTGGGGCTCGTGGCTGCCTTTGCTCTCCAGGTGAGTCAGGCCCAGATTCCTGGCTTGTTACCTGGTTTCCCTACAAACAAACAGCCGAGTAGCCAGCTTGCAGGCTTTCAGACTCACCTAGGCTGGGACCATGGCAGGAGCAGGCAGTGCCCCATGACCATGTCCTTCAGGGGCCCCTGGCCCTGGCTCCCTGCATCCCTGCTCAGCCAGAGGCTACAGGCCGAGGAGAAGACCCTGGATCTGGAGTTTGAGGTTCTGAGCGTAGGCTTCAACGAGGAAGGCAGATATAACCTGCGGCTTTCAGCCGAGAACCCCCTGCAGGCAGGCTCTGGGGCTGGAGTACAGTAGCAGGTGAATGATGGAGACCCCCTCCCAGCCTGCTCTGCTGTCACCGATGTCATTGAGCAGTGGGATCCTGGGCGGAGCCTCACCCTCACCCGGAACAAGTTCATCTTTACCCAAAGGTACAAAATGGGGTGGGGTCAAGATGGCAGAGAGAAGGTCCTTGAGGCTTCTGCCCCAGCCCAACTCAGGGATTCTGGGGAGCCTCAAGAACAGGGAGCTGAATCCCACAGCCCTGCCTATGTGACCCTGGACAACCTCTGTGAGCTCTGCCTCTTCAGTGTGACATGGGGACGCTGGTGCTGGTCACACAGGGTCAGGACAGGAGGGGTTGGAAGGGCAGATGTGACCCACAAGGAACTGAACATGTAGCAGCTTGGAGTAGGCACAGGCAGCAGGTGAGACACCAGGTAGCACTAGAACCAGCCCTGAGTGCCATGGTAGGGGGACAAAGACAAGCACAGCCTTGTGTCCCTGCCAGTAGCTTCCAGACCAGGTAAAGAGGCAGGACTCCTCGATAGGGGCAGAGAGCTATGACTGTGAGGTCCCCCAGGCAGCCTTGGGGCAGGGAACTTGAGGAAGCCAAGCCCCAAATCTTAGTGGCCAGAAGCTGGGGGGAGTCTGAAGTCCCGTGAAGGATGAGTGAGGGCTCATATGCTAGGTGCCCCCTCCTCACTCCAGCATGCCTGTACCGCACATGGTTAATGGAAGGGTGGAGAGAGGGTCACTGGGTCTCCAAGGCCAGGCAGCCCAGTTGCCCAGCAGCCCTACCTAACCCTCTTGCCCTGTGAATGAGTCCCCCATGTGAGCTTATCCCCTCCCCTACAGACTTCTGCAAGAATGACGGGCAGCATGATGCCCAGCTACGTGTGGAAGCCTTGCAGCTGGGCAGAGCAGAGGGCCAGGAGTGCCAGCAGTGTGTGGGCCAGGCCATCTTCCCCCATCTACCCACAGCCTGAGCAGCCCCCCATGAACCTCACAGCACATGAGCATGAGGACCTGTACCGCTACCATGGTAGCCTAGCTCTGCTCCGGACCGGCCTAGACCCCACTGCCCGCCACTGAGGGAGCCTGACCCACAAGGTGGCCTTCCATGTGCACCGGGGCCTAGGGTCCCTCCAGTCAGGACTTCTGTCACCTTATCCAAAGCCCCAACTGCAGGTGGGTGCTCTTGGGGTCCCTGCTCAATGCCAGGTGCCCCAGACCCAAGTTACAGGCTCTGTGACAAGCCTGGTGGTTCCAGCCCTTTAAGAAATAAGGCAATGTGGCTGCCCGGACTGATTCCTTTCCTCTGGGAGGCTGCTATCTGAGGATTGCCTTGGGAGTCCTGGTCTAAAGTGACCCAAAATTGGAATACAGCACTCTGGGAGGTAGGAGGATTACAAGTTTAAACCCAGCCTGGGCAATTTAGTAACTCTGTGGAAGTTCCTGTCTTAAAAGAAAGAACAACACTCACTTAAAAGGGTTGGGTCAGTAGGTGCAGGCCCTGAGTTCAATCCCTAGTACAGTACCAAGCTGGACATGGTGGTGCATGCCTGTAATTCCAGCTTTCAAGAGGCTAAGGCAGGAGGATCACTATGAATTCAAGGCCAGCTTGAGCTACATAGTCAGATGTCTCAAAAAACAAACAAAAGCTAATATCCCACTCCCCTCCAAAAAAAAGAAACAAAACTCCACAGAGCAGTGATAGATGTGGCAGGAATATTTTGGCTCAGGGACTGAGTGTCCCCTGTGACCCATTAGTCCCCAACCTCAATGGTGTTCATCCTTACCAGATTCCCAGGGAGGCTCTGAGTGACCACAGCACAGATGTCTCTGCTGTGTGCCCACCCTCCAGCCCATCCAGCCCCCACCATGACCAGTAGGGGCTCAGCCCCAAACCAGCACCCTGGCAGCCTCAGGTAAGGGGCCAGTTCTCGTTGGACATACATGGGGAGGAGTGTCCCCACTGTGGCCATGTTCTGCACTGTGGCATGTTCTGGAGACCCCAAAGGCCTCACAGCCAAAGAGGAGAAGCAGGCCAAGCATGTGAGGCTGAAGGAATCGTGATTCCGTTAGCATCGACTTTCCTGGAGACCTCCATGCACTATAGGAACCCACAGCAGGGCCAGCCCCTAAACTAAGGGTGCTACTGGCCTAAACATTTGCCACCCAAAAGCAGCGTGGGGGTGGGGCTCCTGAGGGACCTCTCTTTTTAGCAGGGCTCAAGTTTGGAGCTGAGAGGAGCCCAAGGAGGGAGAAAGCAAAAAGCATAGGAAACAAAGGTACAGAGGCAAAAGAAGGCAGGGAAAGTATTCTAACCAGGAAGAAAACCAAGATGGCAAGCAGGGTACAAGCAGAGGGAGCAGGCGTCCTGTGCTAGGGACCCAGGGACGGCTCCTCTTCCGGGGCCCCCCATTCTGTCTCCATGGCCCACTTCAGCCTCTGTTCATGCATCTGGGTGCCTCTGTGATATGCTGGTCCTGCCAAGGACTCTGACTTCAGAGCCTGGCCCCTGACTTCTCTGTTCTACCATTTATCACAGGAAGCAGAGCTGGAGGACAAGCTGTCCCCTGCTCTGCAGGTCCTGGTTTAACGTGGTCATTGGAGCTGCGCGTTTCAGGCTGCAGTTTGCAAAGTGTTCAGGGGAGGTGGGGGCTGCTGCAGGGAAGGGGTTGGCGAGATGACTACAGCAGCAGCCCAGCAGCTCTAATTTCTGTTATTTAAAGCCATCATCTCTGCGCCATACTCCTTGTTAAAGTGTCAGATGTCTGCTTCTACTAAGACAAGAAAATGGCTTTGGAGAGAGAAGGAAATCGCCCCCTCCAGGGGGTCAGCAATCATAGCCCTGAGACGGAGCAGACAGTGAAGGAGCCTGAGAACAGGGCTGCACTTTTAGCCAGTGAACCCAGTAGGGCAGTTACGATTCTGGGTCTGATTTGGACCTGTGGCTAGCTCCTCTGGGAGGCAGAATGACCCAGAACCACGGGAGCCCCTAAAACCATCCTGCATCTCTAACAGTTGAAGCTATTCAATTGAGATCCTTACTCTAGACTCCCAAGTTGTTCTCTAATTTGCCTTGTGTGTCATTTTCCCTCCCAGAACTGATGGCAGTCATGGTGTGGCAGATAGGGTGGTGGGAGGCAGGGATGGGAGGTGCAATGATCAGTTTGCTCAGTAATGAGCCATGGTGGCAGAGACAGGGCACTGGTGTGACCAGGGCAGGGTTCTGTGTGCACTTCAAGACTGTCTTGGAATCTGAATGATTTTTCTTCTCATCCATGACCCACAGATTCCATGGTCCTAGACGGATGGCCTGACTAATGCTGTCCCCAGAATTCCCCAGGTCCCAGAGCCTCTGAAAACAGAACTACCCATCACTCTAAGCAGATCTTTGGGGATGGTGGTTAGGAAGGTTCCCAGCGTGCACAGTCACAGCGTGTGGAATGGAGTTCACTCCCTACACCCTGAGATGCCCTCTTAGCAGTACTGGGACAGGGGCAGATGGGAAGGAGAGCAGACTGTCTGGCACTGGACGAGAAGAAAAGAAAGGTGCAGGGCAAAGCCCCAGAGGTTGACCTGCTGTCCTCTGAGGACAAATCATACTTCTTAGAGGCCTTGAGGCTCCCAGGCCTCCCTGTCCCCCTCCTAAAGATCCCCAAAAGGTCAAGAACAACCTCCCCCTGGCAGGGCTATAAGAGGCTGGAAACCTCCAGGGGTGAAATTGCTGGAAAATATGAACACGTTCCCGCTCCCGGCTCTGGGAGCCATCCCGGGGTTCCCTCCCACACAGCTCAAGGCTGGGATCCCAGGAAGGAGAGGGAGGAGGAGGAGGGTGTGGTGCCCCCACCACCTTTTCCAAACAATTGCAGTTTTGTTTCTTGCAAAGGATTCAGTTTCCCAGGAGCTTTTCAAATGGTGCTTTTAAGATTTTTTTAAAATTCCTTCCATTTAAAACACCTTTTTTTCTTCTTGCCCTGGAGGGGGAAAGAAAGAGAGAAGGAAAAGCTAATAAAGTAATCATCGAATATGGAGCACCTGGCTCTAAGCCCATGGCTTCTGATGGTGGGTTTGGCCCTGCCAGGCTGGGGGCTTTTATTAAGAACAACTGAAAGGGAGCAGTGAGCGGTCAGGTCAGGAGCTGTTAGTGGCTTGCCTGGTGTCCCCTCTGCCCTCTGTCCCTAGACCTCTGTGCTCCCGCTCCCCTCTCTCTTTCGGCCCCTCTGTAGCCTCCTAATGTAGGCTGGAGCTCGGGGTAGCAGGCATGCTGGGTCTTCAGGCCAGAGCACTAAAGAGTCTCCACTCCCCTCTGCCCTGCTTTTAAATTCATTACGCCTTTTATTGCTGGCTATTGCATACGCTATTTCTATTGCCCTGGAGACTGGAGTGGTTCAAGCGGGGAGAAGCACACAATTTGGATTTCATTAACTTCACTCTTTACCGCCTGTCGAATCCCAGGGGGCTCGGCCTATGGAGAGCTGGGCTCCTCGTGGTCCATGCCCCGTCCTCTGGGTGCCAGCCCTCAGCACACCGAGCTTCTCTAGTCTCAGCCACTCTCTGCCCCAGTCCTAGGGGAAGGGGATGCAGGATTGCTCCAGAAATGTCACAGGTGTGGAGATTGGGACTCCTGGAAGGCAATACATGGGCTGCTACTCTCCTAAGCAGTGGAATGGGAGGAAGGTAAGACCTGGCTAGACCAGGCTGACAACCCTTCTGTGTCTTTCCCACCTCCATCAAACTCAAGACCTGCAGCCAGGCAGCTCCTCCTTGCAAATGAGGCAGCTTTATGGGCTGAAGAAAAACACAGCAATTGTTCCCTCAATTACCCCGGAGCAGATTGAATATATTAATCTCTCCCTTAACTCGAGTTAGAGACTCGGCTGCTGCCCCTCCCCCAGCCGCACGTGCCTGGATCTGACTCCCAGCCCCCATCCTCCCAGGCCTTGAGCCCAAACAGGTCACACTGGGTCCAGGCAACAGCTTCTCCTGTGGCCATGACCACCGCTGACACACACACATGCACACGCGCACACATGCACGCACACGCACATGCCCCAGACACAGAAGACAGCTGCTTTTCGCTTCTCTATCAATTTTCATTGATTTTTCTCTTCCCCACTATTTGAAATGAGCCTTTTCCTTGAGTAAACGCAATCCTGCACCCCCTCCCACCACCCTGCACAGAAAGAGATGGGAGGGGGACCGTGGGGGCTCCCCCTTTTACAGCGGTGACAACTGCCTCTAGCTTAAACACACTCTGCCCCAGGCAGCTGAGCCCCACTAAAAGCTACCTGAGGTTTCTCTTTGTAGCTCGATTTTCTTTTATTTCAAGGGAACAAAGGCACTGTCAAGGCGTTTGCAGAGAGTGCTGTCACCATGCGGGAGGGGCGCAATCCCAGCCTAGTGGCAGAGAGTAGAGGCTGGCCCTGTGGAGAGTGGGTGCTTTCAGCTTCCCTCAGAGGGAGACAGGGTAGAGTGTGGGGGTCCTGCATGAGCCATGAGGAAGCAAAATGCGTAAGTGGAGGGGTCCCATATATTCACGTCCTAGCCCTGGCTAGCTCCCCTCCTGCTTGAAGTCCCAGACTCTCTGAATGCCTCTGGGCTTCTCTGAGGGTCTGGTTTAGAACTCAGTGAGCCAGGCACAGGGTTGTCCAGTGGATCTGGGTACAGATTAAGTTCTGGCTTTTATTTAATAGCTGCTTTACCTTGTACACCTTACATTTCCCCTAGCCTCTACTTCCACATCTGTGAAATGGGTGTGTCTTCAGTACGGGGAAGATCAAATGAGCTGGCCTGTACTTAGCCTGCCCCACGGGTGCCCTATGCACTCTTTGGTGTTCCAGTAATGAGGGAGGTGGACTAGCTGGGTTGGGGTAGCAGGAGGGTCTTGGCCTCTGTCTCCGTACCTGGGGAGCAGATTTGCTTCTTCTTACCCAGCCAGTCTCTTGAGGAAGGAGAGTAATGAACTTGTGTGTGGCACTGTCTGTCCAGGCCAGCCTTGACTGAATGCCAGTCTGGAAAGTGGCTCCATTAGCAGATTGTAGGAACAGAATACACCAGATGGCCCTGTGCCCCTCCCCCCTCCCAGCCAGGGACTCCCTGATGCACACCTCCTGGGGCCTCTATGTGTGAGGGGGGATGGAGAGGAAGGGAGGCTGCCCATGGCGTCCTCCTGGACCTACCTGGAACCCCCCTCTTGGACCCCCCCCCCAGCTCCAGTGGGGGGATTGTAGGAAGGCTCCCATTTCCAGAATGATCTGTGCTGGGGAAGGAGGTGGCTGCAGGTTAGGAGAGGCTGCTCTCCTGGTGCGGAGCCTCAGACCCACAAGGACATACAAGCATGAGCCCATGAGCCCATACACACAGGCCCAAATGTCTCAGCACCCACGACTCATCACAAAAACAAGCCCTCAGCAACAGCTGGGAAGCACATATCCTTCCATGCTGCGCCAGCGTCTCCTGGGGACCCTCCTGGTTCATGTCTGCATAAATCCCAAGTGCAGCCTCCACCGAAGGAGCAGGAAGAATGGGTGATGTGAGATACAGCTCCCTGTGAAGCCTTCTTTACACAGCTCCACAGTGCAGGGCAGGCCTAGGGGAAGGAAGCTGACAGCCATGGGCCCTGGCCCTGGAGAGGGACTGGGCTGAAGGGAGTCACCTAGGGCCCCAGAGTCAGGAACAGCTGAGGCCTCCTGGGAGCAACCTCCTTCCAGCATGGATGGTGGGTGTGCATGAGATGTTCTTCCTCCACGTGGATCCAAGGCTTCTTGAGGGCTTCTGTGGTCACACTGGCTTAGCATGGGTGGCCCATCTGCCTGCCCCCTCCCTCCCTCCTTCCTTTCTTTCTTTCTTTCCTTCTTTCCTTCCTTCCTTCCTTTTACTCGTCCTCCTTTCCCTCTTTTCTTCCTCCCTCCCTCCCTTCCCTCATTTCTTGTTTGTCCCTTCCCTCCTTCCCTCATTTATTCATTCATCTATTCACTCTCCCAAGTGGGGAATTAGTTACTGTCAGCTGGAACCTTAGGGAGCTGCCAGGCTGTGTAGAGGGAGAGAATAGGAGCAGAAAATGATGCCTTTCAAAGCAAACTATGGACAAATGACTAGTCACCAAGGTCTGACCATCTATTTCCTATAGGAAATGGGTCTGACCAGGAGTCAGGAACTTTGGCGGAGAACCTCACTTCCCACTTGCATCTGAGCAGAGAGCAGCAATGACTCGGAGGAGCAGGTCCCTTTCCTCCTGGGTCCTGGAATTTCTCATGTGCTTGAGGACAGGGGAGCTGTGTGGCTGGTGAGGACGAGGATGGGAGGTGCCTGGTGTGTTAAAGTCCAGCTCACAGATGTCAGGAGAGGCTGAGGCCATCACAGGGATGGGTGGAGGTTCAGGAGGACAGGTTTCTAGCAGAGAAAGCAATGGGGGCAAAGGGGTAGAGAATGGAACATGGGGATGCAGGGGACAGCAAGTCAGCAAAGGCAGCAAATCAGGACATAGACTGAAGGTTTGCAAGGTGGGAAGAGGTAGAAATGCCCAGGGATGCATGGGCGGTGCCATCTCTGACAGCTCTGAGCACTCAGCAGTGAAGACTGCTCTGAGCCATGCTGGCAAAGACAGGACTCTTATGCCTCCGGGTCCCTGCAAGGCCCATTGGAGCATCAGTCCTAAGAGATGGGCAGAGTACCTTTGGCAGTGCCCATTTTGGGGTAGGAACTGAGCTCCTAGAGGAATGGATTGCCCAAGCACTCCTGGGAGTAATCAGCAAGGCCAGGCTGGAATCCAGGTCCTTATACAGCAGTCAGCCATTCTGATATCCAATCAACACACAGTGGGGCATGGCTCAGAGCATCCCTTTCCAGGGACTCTCCAATCAGCATGAGGTAGGTGTGGCCTAGAGTATTCCTTACTGGGGACTTTGCAATCTGTTCCTTGCCCTTTTGAATAGAGCTCTGATGCTGGGCTTTCTGGGCTCTGTTACAGTACTGGGAAGTATTTTGGGGGAGCAGATTTCTTCCTGATGGAAGGACCATGATGGACCCATGTCACACCAAAACAGCCAAGACAGGGTATGCAGTGTTCTACTGAGCCCAGCAACAAATGCTCATTGTGCAAGGTGGTTCCCAAGCGGGGCTGGGGTGGAGGTAGGGCTATCAGTGGCCCTGGACCCAGGGCCATCCCCAGACCCACCACCCATCCCTAGGAATGACATTTAGAAAAAGCATTACATGCATGTTGCAGCCCAGACAGAAGCTCTTACCCTATCTGAGGAGGGACAGTGAGTTACCATTGCCAAGAAGGTGCTCTGTCTTGTGGTGCGTGCTTCTGTGCAAGTCATTTTGCATCTCTGGCCCCGGTCTCCGCCTCTGTAGGAAGGGGTAATGATGTCTACTCAGCAACCTGCTTGTTGGGATTCATATGCAAGCTGCACTGGAGTCCAGAAGGACTTCTTGGAGGAAAGGGGATTCCAAAGACTCCCAGTCTGGAAAACCAACCCAGATGCAAACCTCCACCCCTTGGGACCCACAGTGAGGTGTGGCAGACTCTTCCATGCAGGAAATGTGAGTTGAGTTCTGGTTCTGTGCCAGGCCTGGCCTCTCAAAGTTCTCAAGTCAACAGCACCAATGGGAGGTCTTAGGCAGTTATTAGGTATAAGAGGGGACGCAGCTGGGCCTTCCCTGGGAGGATAAAGAGGAGGGTGGCAGGACAGTTGTGTTAGTATCTGGGGACCCCCTCAGCTACCACAATCTGTAGGTGCTCAAGCTTGTCATATAAAATGGTATAGAATTTGCATAAAACTTATACATACCCTCCTGTATGCTTTAAAATCATCTCCAGATGATTAAATACCTAATACTCTATGCAAACAGCAAATGCAAGGTAAATAGTTGCTATATTCTATTGTTCAGGGAGTAATGACTGGGAAAGGTTGTGCAGGTTCAATACAGGTATAATTGATTCCCTCCCTCCTTCCTCTTCCCTTTCCTTTTCTTTCCTCCCTTCTCCTCCCTCCTTTTCTTCTTTCAGTGTTAAGGATCAAACCCAGGGTCTCACACATGATAAGTGTATAATTACCTCTGCACTACACCCTCAGCCCCCATTTTTCCCTGAATCTTTGCAATCCAAGGTTGCTGAATACACAGACAGGTAACCCACAGATCCTAAGGGCCAACTATACCTGAGTCAGGATGGAGGCAGGGAGGACATTAGCACAAAGTTCGCTTAAATCCCATTCTGCCACCATCCAGCCGTGGGATTTAACCTCTCGGCACTTCCTTTGTTACTGGTGATAACCATCCTCCCCTGACAGGAGCACTGAACTGCATATCTAGTGCGTTTACAGAACGTGGCAAATGCTCACAGCCCATTAGCCTTGATCGTTAGGCAGGTGAGTGGCAGCTTGCCAGGGACACAGAGCTGGGGGCTGCGGCACAGGCAGATGGGCAGCTAGGGCCATGACATGGTAGCTCCCTTGGAGAACCTGGGGATTCAGGGGAAGCGATGGATGGAGCAGGGGAGGGTCCAGCCTCAGCCCTGGGGACACCTCCACTTCCCCAGAAGGAAGTTTGCTCTGAGTCACATTGGACAGGATGCAGCTGAAACCCTCAGTGCATATGGGGGTGCAGACATTATTTGAATTTTCCTCTTGAAGCATAATTGCTTTTTGTCGGCGGGCGTTCCTGGAGACACATCCTTCCCCAGGAGATTGCTTTCCAGGCTCCTCTCTCTTCCAGCAGACAGGAGGGCTGGGTCAGCTCCAAGCTGCATTAATACACTGCAAATGCGATTTCCTGGCTTCAAATGAGATTAGGGCCAGAGGCTCTGTTCTCTGGTAGAGATGGCAGGCAGGCAGCCTGGACAGGGGTGACCAGCAGTGAGCTGGGAGTCTGAGAGAGAGAGAGAGAGAGAGCCCAGGCCCAGTTGGCCTGAATAAGCAGATTTCTGTAACTGGAGCCCTTCAGCCTGCTGATTCATTCCTTTCCATGGAATGGGTGCTCAGCGCTGGCTTACCTGACCCCAGGCTCCCCATAAGTTAGCAGCTTCAGTAAGAAAGAAAGTTAGTACAGCTCAGCACCACGGGTCCCAAGCTGGTCTTATCTGTTCCTGTTTCTGCCTTAGTCTTCTCATCTACCTGCCACAGTAATCGTCTTGTGCAGAGCAGTGAGGACTAACGTGTGAAATGCTGTGCTTAGTACTATTAGCCATGATGGTGAGGTACACCATCTCCCTAGTATGAGGAGGCCCTACGGGTTTGCAGCCCAGAGGGCAAAGGTTTGGGGAGCAGGCAGCAGACCCCCACAGTACAGTTTCAAGGGGAAGAAAACCATCTACCACTGATGTTATCCATTATTCATTCAGCAAGTACCCAACTAGTGCCTGGGAACACAAGGCCAACACCCAGGCACAGTCCCTGCTTTTAGGGGACATAGACCCTGTGCCAGAGAAATAAAGAAATGTTCATGAGCCAGTGGAGGGGGAGACCCCAAAGTTGTGGATCCAATGGACCTGGGTGAGGGTGGGGCCAGGGGGAAGGCTGTGTTATTTGTGTCTTGAAGAAGCACTGTGAAGTACTCAGGCTGCTACAAAAGGGCCAGCAGGCATATGGAACGGTAAATATGAAGACCCGGGAGCTGGAGCAATCCCTGCTCACATAGTGTCATGAGGCTGGAGCATGGGCACGAGGTAGGCATCAGTGAGCCAAGATGGAGGCTTCTTGGGTGAGCAGACCTGGGGCCAAAGAATTGAAGCCATGGAAAGACTTGGCTGGACTTATGTGCTGGAAGAGGGGACACAGATTTGCTGAAGACTGATGGAGTCTACTGCCCCTTGAGCGAACCTCAGAGACCTCAGTAGGATGCCACTTCTGCCCTCTCCTGATGGAAGGGAAGAGTGGGCATCTTGTTGCTTACTTCTTTATCCAGTCTCTTGTTAATGAATTATTGACGTTTCAAAAAGCAAAATGCCCCAAAGCCACGTTGCATGTTCAGCAAAGTGACTTATGAATTGCTAACCCTAAGAGAAACCCTTCCATCAGCATCTAGCAAGGGTGGCTGCCAGGTAAACAGAACAGTGCTGGCCAACAAGAATGTGACACCCTCTCACAGTCATCCCCCAGGCCATGCCACCAAGGCTGGGCTCTGGCGGGGAGGGGTATCTGGACATAAACTGGTGGGGAGGGGAGGGAAAGCTTATTTGGGGAACAGCTATACATCTGTTCTCTTGTGTAACCCTCACCTCCCTGCTGCTTGCAGACCTGCAGGGTAGATGAGGAATCTGAGGCTCAAATTGTCAAGTGACTGCCCAAGGACTTACTACTCACCAGCAGAGCCAGTGGAAGACACCTGCGCTGGTGGGATTCCAAAGAGTCTACTTCGCTCACCACCCACTTCCTGTCTGCCTCTTTGGTGGTATTAGCAGTTGTCTTAGCAGTCAGGGCCCACGAGAACCAAGGGCAGCAGGAACAAGGTCAGAATAGAGTCTGTGACAAAACTAGGGCCCCAATGGGTTTCGCCCACAGTCATTTAGCCCAGGTCATTGCTGCACGGTAAGAACCTGGGAGCACAAAAGGACCCCCAGAACCCCTGTGGCCCACGAAACTGGTGGGGCCCGGGACAACAGCCTGCATCTTCAATGTTACCTGGCACAGCACAAGGTCATGACCCCACAGCTTTGGGACCCAAATGATCCAATTGGGCTGTGTGGACCAGCCTCCTCCAGACCCCAGTTTTGTCCTTGCTTCCCTCCACCTCCCCAGCCATGCCCACTGCACCTCCAGCACAAGCCACCTTGTTCCATGGTGCCAGCATCTAGGCTGCATGGTCACAGAGCCATCTGCCTGGCCTTATTCAAAACAGGGGGCCTGGGGATCAGCCCAGTGGTAAAGTGCTTGCCGAGCTCGTGCAAGACCCTGGATTCCATGCCAGGTATGCATGCATGCATGAGTGAATGAATAACAGGACCTGATCTTGTCCATGTGTGGCTTCAGTTTCTGGAGAGAAGAAAGGAAATATAACTGCTTTCTCCAGAAGGAAAGGAAAGACAGACTGACATTTGGGTCTGCTGCTTCCTAGCTGAGTGTGACCTTGGGCAGTGCATCCCTGTCCTGGGCTGCAACCCAAGTACAGCGGTTGCTCCTGGGTAAGAACGTGAGGCTCAAGTGAGCTGGCGAGAGTGTGACTGTAACAGGATGTCTGGCATGCAGTGAGTTCAATGTGGCTTTGTGTAGGTGCTGGTGGTGAGCGTGGTGGTGGCGACACTAAGGGATCAGGTGAGGGTCGAAGCCTACAGCGAGGGGCCTGGCAGGGGAAAGGTGTTCTTGCTTAGGGAATTGAGGGGACTTCGACTGAGGGAATAAAGACCTTTTACAAAGTTGAGGGTGAGGTTTAGGAGGAGCAAGAGGGAAAGCATGCTCCCTGGGGGTAGGAACTGTGTGCATCCCTCAATGAAGGGCAAGAGGAGAGAACAGGCTGGGCGTGGCGGTGCCCGTCTGTAATACCAGCATTCTGGAGGCAGGGGAATGGTGAGTATGAGTCCAGCTCAGGCAACCTAGCAACTTAAACCAGAAGCCGGTGAGGTGGTCACATGGGGTCAGCCTGCTGGGGTAGGATCCAGAGCCTGTGTTTCCCACCTCACCCAATGCAGTCATCCAGTGTAAAGGGAGAGAAATGGAGTGTAGTGGTTGTGGGGTGGGCATGGACATGATCACGGGTGGAGGAAGGTCAAGCCCGAGAGAGATGTTTCCTGGCACCTGAGCTTCCTGCCTGGGCTATGGACTCCCAGGGTTGTCTCTTTCTTGGGGTCCAGGCCCAGGCTTGGCAGGAGAGATATGGACCACTATGTCCACAGAAGCATCATCTTGCTGCCAAATGGGCCCAGAGCAAATCCAAGGAGGAAGCAAGATCCCTCCTTCCCTGGCATGCGGCCCCAGGGCCTTGTCCCTGCCTCAGCTGGGTTCCCTAAAGGTGCAGTTAACCTCAGTGCTCCCTCCTTAGGGGTGCTGGTGCCAGCAGGATTACCAATTAGCTGTGAGACTAATCATTACCCGAGATCACACTGACTCATCAGAGCTTTGAGCTGGACCCTGGGCAGGGCAACAAACATTCCTTAGGACACTTGGGGAGCAGGCACATTTCCCACCCCAAGGAGCCTGAGGGACAGAGAAAGAAGAGGGGGGAGGGGAACTGGGATCACAAGGCCTTCTCACTGGGGTAGGGGAGGATAAGGGAGGCACTGGAGCCATGGTCTTTGGGCTCCTTGGTCCAAGGAGATGGATACAGTAAGACTTAGGGACAGAGTGGCTGCTGGTGGCTGCTATATATGCAGGGCACCCGGAAGCCAGGCAGCGTGGAACCAGTGCCCAGCTGCATTGCCTTCTTCCAGGGCAGGAAGCTCAGGTACCAGGCAGTACAACTGGGGGCACCCCAGCACTTTGGGAATCGGGGGGTGTGACGGGGCAGGACCTGGGCTATAGGCAGGCAGGCTGCCTGGTGAGGAAGCACTTACGTTGGGACTAGAGTGCTCACACAGCCTGGCAGCGAGTCCCCCTTAACTGCAGTTGGCTTTCTAGAGGCCCCAGAGGACCCCAGGCTTGGCTGGTTCCCAGCCCTCCTTTTCCAGCCCTGCCTACTTGTCCCCTCTCCATCGAGCAGCCCCCCAGCTTCTTGTCTTGACCTTCCCACTTTGCCTAGCATGCCACTATGGCTTCTTTGCAATCATTTCTTTCATCCTTGCTTCATAGTCTAGAACCACTATGCCCCGTACATGGCCCTCTTTAATTACAATTTATTTTGAATAATGTAGCCATGCCTTGACCTATAGAGGTTATATTCCAAGATCGCCAGTAGGTGTCTGAAACTTCGTGTCACACCAAACTCTATGTTTTTTCCTGTATGTCCTATGAAAAAGTTTAATTTATAAATAAGTTACAGTTAGGAATAACAACTAATAATAAAATATAATGATCATAACAATAGACTGTACTAAAATTAAAGTTTACTTAAAACTTATGAATTGTTATTTCTAGGGATGCCCATTTAATATTTTAACATTGTGTGCCTTCATCACCTCCCTCATTGCTGGGACAAAATACCCAATATCCACAGCTTAAAAGAGAAAAGACTTATTTTGGCTTGCATTTTACAAGTTTCAGTCTTTGTGTGTCTGGCTGGCTTCAAGCAGAAGCATCATGGCAGAGGGGCCTGGCGGAGGAGAGCTGCTCCCAGCATGGTGGACACGAAGCAGAGGAGTGAGGAGCCAGGGAGAGAGATGAACGTGTTCAGGCCACATCCCCAGTGACTCACCCCTTCCCACCAGGCCCCACCTTCTAACAGTAAGCTAGTGATGAGCCCCCATATTCAATCACCCACCAAACATCCAGCCTCTGAGCACATGAGGCTCTTGAGGGCCATCCAGATATAAACCTAATCACTGGAGTTGACTCTGGGTTACCACCAACCAAAAGACACAATCAGGAGGGACCACTCTGTGACAGACCCCCATGAGCCCCCACCTAACCCAAAAGCAGAATGTCACTAATAAATATATCCACTTATGTGTTCTTTCCACATTCTCTCCCCAGTCTTTTAGCCCACCCTCCAAGACTTGTGCGTTTGTCATTATTAAACACAAGGAAGACCATAGGCACCCGGGGAGGGCGGATGGCTTTGGTGCTTCAGCAGAAGTAGCTGTTTTATAAACCAAGTTCCAACTGCCCTGAGGGCAATTCTGGGTCCCCTCTCGGAAGTGGGAGCAGAGTAGGGAACAGCACACAGTGGAGTTGGTGAGGCCATGGGTACCAAGGTGAGAAGGGTGCACAGAGGATGCCAGGCAGCAGGCAGTAGTTCCAGGAAGACCAAGAAGGGCTTGAATCCACCCTCTACTCCTCGCAGTGGCCTGTGTGATGTCAACTATGATGTCACACAATGTTGCTGGGCGACCCAGCTGGGCAGAAAATCTTGCATTTGCAGGTCTGGGCAGAGAGAAGCCAAACCTTCTCACCTGCCCATCCTCCTTCCCAACTGGCATGGCACAGATCCCACAAGGCCCCTGACCCACTGAACCTTTCCTTGCTGAGAAAGGGTCCAGACACTGCCCCTCCCTACATCCCCCTTTCCTTGGCCCGGCCCAGCGCTGCTGTACGACAGTCCTGAGACCACACTGATACGGAGGTGGCCAGGCCAGCTGTTGGAGCAGGACTGATGCCTGGCCACCCACCCACCCACACCAGACACTGGCCTTAGAGCTTGATAGACAAGGCTAGATGCACCTGCCCAGAGAGGATGGGGCAGAAAAAGAGCAAGGTAAGCCTGGGACAGAGGCCACGCACCTGTGTGTGCCCTCCAGTCATGCATAGGCCTTTGTGTTGCTGGTTCCTAAAGTGTCATGAAAATGTTCCTTCACTGAGTCTGTTTTCCTACCTGCAAGATGGGGAGCAGGGTGGTCTCTGAGTCTCCTTGTGCCCTCTGGGAATTGAAATGGAGCTTTTGCAGGTGTTGACTGGGACTGCCCTTCACTGATGGGTTCTGTCCCTGAATGCTGGGCTCGGAGAGCCCACCAAAGTGGCCCATTCATCTCCTTTAGCACCCCTGGCAGTGACCTCCATGCCCACTGAGCCTCTGCCCTGCCCATCCCAGGCCCAGGCCCCCCTGCTGGGACACAGGTGCTGGAACTCCAGGAAAGAAGGGATTTTTTTTGTTGGTGTTGTTTTGGTTTTTTAGTAGGTACTTAATAAAAAGCAGAGGAAGAGGGCCTGCCAGGTGGGGACCAGATTCTCAGGGCAATAACATGCCAATAGTTCAGTGTAAGACTTTGCTTACCTTCTGCTAAATGGCTATGTCAAGCCTGTGATGGTGTCACCCACAGGGTTGACAGAAAGAGCCAACACTAAAGGCTCTCTGAGAACACCCACTTGAAGCTACACCCTTAAGTTAAATAAGCCAAATATAAATAAGCCAGTGTAGCTTCCACCTTTATTACCCTTGGCTCAGATGTCCCTGGGTCCTTGTGTTTTCTGTCTAGATCCCACCCTCCTGTTTAAGCCTCCTCCTGAACTGTCACACACTTGGGATTGGGACCAGACTGACTTAACAGGAGCCCTGAGCAGCAGCATATTCAGGGACCCAGGGAGTGTGGAGGATCCTGAAGAGGATCCAGATGTATTTGATTTGATTTGTAGCTATGGGAAACATTTTAATAGCTGGATAGAATCCTCTGTAAAAGATGTTCATAATTTATATGGTATTATATTCATATTTCTTCCTCTGCAAATCCCAGCCCTTGTCTTTTTATTGGGTGATGTTTATAGATGTCAGTGCTCTTTATATTAAGGATATTAATTATTTTTATTTATTGCAACTTTCTCCTGTTTGTCTCCCCGTTCCTCGTATTGTAAAATTGGGCCTTTATAAAGATTGGTATGAATTTTTAAAAATGTAGTAAAACATTAAGTCTATCAAATTCTTTATGATTTGAATTTCATCCCCCCCCCCATGTTGGAGATGGAACCCAGGGCCTGGTGCATGCTAGGCACATACTCTACCACTGAACCACACTGCTAGCCCTAGGTTATCTTTTGAAAAGGCCTTTCCTGCCCCAGATGCTGCAAATTCTGCCATTACTGAGTCCCCAGGCTATAGGCCTATATAGTAGATCTTGTAGCCCAGAGAATGAACCCTATGTCCAAAGATGCATGCAGAGGGCAGAGAAGAGGCCTCAAGACTGCAGGGCCCAGCAGGTTCTGTCCTGGCCCCAGCCCTGGCCCTGTTTGCTCAGCCACACACTAACTCAAACCCACTAGGGTCTGAATCAACAAATGACAGGTCCAGGCAGCCAGACCACTTACCCTTAGTTCCATGGCTCCTGGATATTCACCCTTTGGTTGGGAATGGGTGATGTGGGCTGGGGGATGCAGGGGAGCCCATCTCCTTCTGCCCTTGCCCCAGATCAAGCCTCCCTTGGAGCAGAACTGAAAGGCTATTAACCCCTCTACGGCCACCCCATCCTCTGTCCTATTCACACACATCCCCAAATGCCCCATATGACAGAGAATCCTGGGCCTCCTAGAATAGCTGCTGCTACTCCTGGCTTTTGGACAACACATCCACCTGTCAGAATGGGCAAGGCACCAGAATTGGCAACTTCTGAGCCTGCCTTGTGCCAGGCCCAGCAGGGTGCCAGGTGCTATATTTGGGCACTGGTGGGCTTCATGCTGGTCAGGGTAGGGGGCAGGAAGAGGATATTGTCCTGATGCAGGGATCTCTGAGGGAAGACTGGGAAGGCAGGAAGCTTAAAGGAGGAGAGATGGGAGCCTGGCCCACAGCCCTCACCACAGACAACCTCCTTGGCCTAAGCCTCCCTGGTCCTGTCTCAGCCTGCCCAGTGGGTACAGTGGGCACAGGCCTGCAGGCCTCCCTAGGAGGCGCTAGCCTGCCAGCTGGCCTCAGGTCAGAGTGAAGTGCGAGCCATTCTCAACAGTGGCCCTGCAGGCTGCATTCCTGGAAAGCTGTGCCCGGGACAAGCCATGGAGATAGAGAGGGGGTGGCTCTGGCCTGGCTGGTATCCAGGTGCCAGGGATGACCTTGGCGCTTCTGGGCCCTTGCTTCTGTGGCACCGGGAAAGCTCATCAGAGGCCCCACACACTCACAGTAGTGAAGGGAGCCAAGGTCGGGTGTGGGGGATGTGTCCTCTCTCCAGGCCTCCTGTAGGAGCCGTGGGCACACCTGCTATTGGGAAGACTGAGTCACAAGCCAGTCCAGACTTGGGAGAGAGGGAAACTGAGGCTCAGAGAGGTGACAAAGAGAGTTAGACAGAGCTAGATGAGACTAATGTCTCTTGCCTTACAGGTAAGTCTTGGTCGCTGACCACCAAACCAGGAGTCTGACCTGCAGAGGGTGGTGGGAAGCCAGGGATTCTCTATCTTCTCATCTGCCCTGGCAGAAGAATGGGGAAGGGGCCCTCATCAATACTACTGCAGGTGGTGACAGCCCTGCTGGGCCTGGAGTGGGGCATGTTCTCACATTCTAATGAGGACCTGCATGGGGAAGCCAAAGGAAGCAAAGAAGTAAACCACAGGGATGACAGTCCCCTCCTTTCCAGTGACATCTGGAAAAAAGCAGTCCAGGCAGAGAATCAAGCAGGACAAAGGCTGAGAGGCAGAAGCAGCAACCCAACAGGAAGCGAGGGGAAGAGAGCACAGTCAGAGATTCCAAGGCTTGGGCCTAGAGTGACCGGAAGAGAGGAGTGCCCATCACCAAGTGGGGCAGACACAGGGGAGAGATGTCAGAGACGAGTCAACGGGTGGCCTTTGGGGCGTCTACTCTGGGTTACCAAGAAACCCCAGGGGAGCTATCAAGGGGTACATGCCTCCAGGGAGATGCTCCCTCTCACTGTCCTGAGAACTGAAGGAGGTCCTCAGGGTAGAGAGACTTCTGTGCTCCTTCCTCTGCTTCCCTGTGCTCAAGGCTTACCAGAGCCCAGAGGGGGCACTGTGCCTAGCTCCATTCTCCTCCCCCTCGCCAGTAGTAGGGGTCAGAGTCCCAACAGGCTGCTCCAAACCCTCCTGACCCACGGGGGAAACTCACTCTCAGAGCACAGTGGCTCAAGTCCCACAGTGGGGAGAGACAGAGCAGGGGACCCCGCTGTCCTGACAGTGCCATCAACCAAACCATCTCTGTGGCCCCTCATCAGTTTGTCACACCAGAAGGGCAAAGGGCAGGTGGCCTCCTGCCAGCAGCCATCCAGCCAGGGTCACTCCAGGAGAGGAGTGAGTCAGGAGCCGGGCAGTGCTGGGAGGGAACCAGGATCCTACATCCTCTTGACTAGGGCCTCTGGGTAAAAGGAGGATGGGCATCCAAGACAGACACCATAATTGACCCCACCGGGTACCCTGAGAGCTCATGGATGGGTTAGGCTTTGTAACTGTAAAATACTGTGCACACGACAGATCCATGGTGACAGTGGCCAACCACTAGGACAGGAGAGGCACTGAGGTGGTGACATCAGGTTGAGAAGGTGAGGTGGCCTGTCTCCTGCCACAAGAGGAGCCACATCTAGGGTTGGGGAGAGGCAGGAGAGCATTGGGGGACACACAGAGTGTGGGATAAGATAAGGGAGACAGTAACTTAAGGGCTACCATCCTTTAGGGTACGGCTAAGGTGATGAAGACTTGGAGAGGAACTGTACAGGGAATAAAGGTTAGAGGAAGAGGCCACACAGATATGGCTGTCTCTGCAGGTCACTGAGGACCCGGAGGACACCATGAATGCCCCCCAGAACATGCCACCTGACGTCAGCCACCTGTCTTCCTCCAATAAGGAAACCATCGTGGTCACTGTGCATGGCGATGCACAGTGGTGGTGTCACGTGGTGGTGTAAGTAGTGGGGGAGGGGACGGCACCAGCACTGTGAGCAGAAACTGGGGGACTGATACTTGGAAAAGGTCCTCGAAGTTTCAGGATCTAGACTGTAAGGACAATTGGAGGAGTCACACAGGGGCTGTGGCTCTGCAGATGGGGAAGAAAGGTACCAAGGGACCCAAGGGGGTCCCTCTTGATCCCACAAGTGTCTGGACAGGGTTTGACCGCAGCTTGCAAGGGCTTAGGGTGGACACAGTGGAACGTGACAGTCAGAGAGGAGACAGGGTCCCCCCAGTCCCTCTCCCCAGTCCTTTCCATGCCCCCCTCCCCACAGCTCCAGCAGCCAGCAGGTACCCAAGGCCTCCCTCCATATTATGTCTGTTGCCTGCCTCCCAGCCTCACTGCTCCCAGAGGTGCTATCACCATGCCAGCCAGCCTGGCTCAGCCTTCACTGCAAAGCCCTGCAGGACCTGCTGCCTCCACTAGTTCTAATCCCCTGCCAGGCTCCCCTCCTCCTCCGAGTCAGCATTACTGAGCTCCTGTCTCTAGGGAGTGCCCTGACTCTCCCCTCCAATACCCACCTAAACCACACCTCCAAAGCCTTGCCCAGGACTCCTCGTCCTCCAGGCAGCACCCTCAGTTGAGCGCTGGCTCCTCTGGAGTCACATGGCAGTGGCAGCACTGGCCTGACTCTATATAGATTTGGTTTTTATGCTTTTCTTCTGCCCTAGAGGAGCAGCTCCCTCAGGGTCCTGAGGCCCCACCCTCTATTTCTCCAGCAGTGGCCCAGCTGACTTTGGGCCAAGGTTCAAGGGGTTAGGATGACCATGGGAAAGAAGGAGAGATGCTAGGCTGGGGACCGATAGTTGACACAGAGCCTCATGTGCACAGCCCGGCTCCTCAGCCCTCCCCTCCCCCAACTCCACCCTCGTGGAGAGGGAGAGACAGGTGGCAGGGAGCATGAGCTGGCTCCTAGCTGTGAGCTTGCCGGCCAGCCAGCACTCCTCCACTATTTCCATAAACCAATTATCGCTGATCATCTCAGGAGATTGCAGCCCTGCTTGTCACCAATCCAGCCTGGGTGGTAGAGGGGTGGGGAGCCGGGTGGCCCCATTGCTCCTCAGCAGGCATTATAACCCTGTACCATCACCCTGTTGCCATGGGAACATGCTGCTGGGAGCCTAGACAACAGAGCCAGAGTAGGTGTGTGAGGAGCCGGGAACGCCCCAGTCTGTGCACCCTCCCTATGGCTGTGTGGGATAGGGTGGGGGTGGAGGGCAAAGCACAAAGCTGAGAACCAGGCCTGGGCCAGGCTTCAGACTGTGTCCCAGGGCCACCAGCTCCAGGTGGTGCTAATGAGATGTAAATGAGAGAAGGGAGGGCTTCCAAGAGGGGCCCAGCTGTCAGGACCTGAAGGTGGTTTTCAGGGCTCCCCAGGCAGGTGGGAACCCCAGAGAGAGGGCCTCCATGGGCTCTAGGCACTGGGAAGAATTTGATGCCCTCTGTGTCTCACTACAAAGCACAGTGACAAAGCAGCCACCAAGCAGGAGAAAGTTCAGTAAAGTTTTCACTTTCTTAAATAAATATTTCAAAGTTTTTTAAAAAAATGCATAAATACGTAGAGTGTAAAATCTGAAACCATCAAACTCCTGGAAGAAAACAGGGTGGGGGAATTTCCTTACCTGGGTCTCAGCCATGAGTTCTTTGGGTTGGACACCAAAAGTGCAAGCCTGAAAATGAACGTAAGTAAGTAGAACCACAACTAAAAAGGTCTACAGAGCAGGGAAAACAGCTAATGAAGTGGAAAAGCAACCCGGGACTGGGGAGATAAATACAAACCATATATTTAATAAAGAGTTAAAATATAGGAGAGACTTGCATAGCTCAAGGGCAGAAAACCTGGTTAAGAAATGGGCAAAGGGGGGCCAGGGATTTAGCTCAACAGTACAAGCACCTGCCTGGCAAGCACAAGGTTGTAAGTTCATTCAATCTCTGGTTCAAAAGAAAAAGAGAGAGACGGAGAGACACAGAGAGAGAAATGGGCAAAGGAAACTGAGTAGATTATCTTTCCAAATAAGTTAAACATGGCCAAGAAGGACATGAAAAGCCACTCATGTCACTCATCATCAGGAGAAGCAAATGAAAGTCAGAAAGAGAGAGCAGCTCACACCTGACAGGAGGCTGGTGAGGAAAGGGAACCCTGCCATGTGACTGCCACTGCCAGGGGCATAGATGGGAACCGGGGTACTGCAAAACGGGATGGTAGTGGCTCAAAAAGTTAAACGTACTATGTGATCCCTCCTTGCCATTTTTGGATGTAGAGTCAAACGAAATGAAATTAATGTCTGGAGGGCTCTCTGCCTCCCCATAGTCATTATAGTATTACTCACAGTAGCGAAGGCTTGGAATCTTCCTGTCTCCATCCATCCATCTGCCAGTGAGTGGATAAAGAGAGTGTGAGACAGATGTAAATGACAGAGACAGAGAAAAGCTAGGATAGAGATAAAGGTAGAGACAGAGATAGAGACAGAGATAGATTTCAGCCATGAAAAAAGAATTTCTTATCTGGGCCTAGTTACAAGTGTACATTACTGTAACTCTAGGAAGCTGAGGCAGGAAGACTGAAAGTTTAAACGTAGGCTGGGTAATCCAGCGAGACCCTATCTCTAAATATACACGTAAATAAATGAGCTGAAAATGTATGTAGCTCAGTGCTAAGGGCCTAGGTTCAATTCCCAGTGCTGCAAAAAAATTTTTTAAATAAACAAATAATCTTGCCACTTGTGACAACACACATAAGTTGAAAGACATTCTGCTCTGTGAAATAAACCAGACACAAAAAGACAAAAATAGTGCACAACCTCACTTACTATGAAATCGTTACTGAACCCATAGAAGCAAGAGGAAAAAGGTAGTTGCTCAGGGCTGGAAGATGGGGACATGGGGAGAGACTGAGAGAGAAACTGTCAAAGGGTGAGAAAGTAAGTTTGGGGGTTCGCATGTGCAGTATGGTGACTGTAGTTGACAGCACCGTTGTGTATGTGAGATTTGATGAGAGTGAGCCTACGGTTCCCTCTGAGACACACAGAAAGGGTAACTGCGGTAGTGACAGCTATGTTCACTACCCTGAGCATGTGGGGAATCCACAATAGACACAGTGTGCATTTTAAAATATAAATGCCAGTCATACTTCACTAAAGTTGGAAAAAAAGAGGTACAAAGCTTCACAGTCTCCCTAAACATTGCCCCCGCTTTCTGTGACCTGCTTTCTGGTGCTCTCTGTATAGTTTCCTGCTCTCTGTCATCCTGTGATGTCCCAGCCTGAGAGGGGCTTTGTCACCTTCTTAGCAGGTGGGCCAACAGTTGGGGTGCAGGCATGTAGTGAATCCCAGGCTGAGAGTGCCCCAAAGTCTTTTATGCCACCACTGCATTAGTGGAGACTGGAAGAGACTGCAGGTTCAAAGGCAGTGGGGTACTGTAGCCACCCCACCCCTCTGTGGCACCACTCCACTCCTCTGGGCTTGTGTGGTCCTAGAGTGCATCCTCTAGTTATACGACATCCCTGAGCACAGCCATAGTCTTGCCTGTGTACGTCGAAGCCACTGCTCTGCATCAAGTTGGACCCCACTTCTTCAGAGGAACAACTTCCTCTGGGGTTCCCAGGGTCCACAGTGCTCACCTGTGTGCAGCTGGCACCCCATCCCATGTTACCTCCCAGTGGCACTGCCCCAGTGTCCCTCACTCTCCTCTGATTTCCAAGTTGCCCACTCTTCTTTCCCGCCCCAGCCACGCCCCTCTGCCTTTTCTGGCACCAGCTGCGCCTGTTCAGGCTTCCACCCCCCACACACACTTTCCCTTCCCTCTCTCCCTCCTGCAGCCAGCTCTTCTGTCCCCATCCAATCCATCACCAGTGTGTCACTGTCCCTCGTGCCTCCTGGAGTGGGCTGCTTCTCTCCACCAGCTCCTCTGCCCTCTGTGCTATTTTTCCAGCTGCTCTTGGTCCATCTACACTCACCCCTTCTGAAGACAGCTCCCAGGGTAAAGAGGATTTCAGGCCCAGAGAAGTGGAGGCTTGCTGGTCCCCCCACTGCCCTCTCCCTGCTGTAGCCATGCGGGGCATCTCTCAGTTTTCTGGGAAACCCTGTCCTCTCCCACCCCAAGCCTTTGCATTTCCTTCCCAGAGCTCAATCTGGTCCCTTCTTCAGATCTCCGCTCCATCACCACCTCCTCCAGAGAGCCCGCCCTGATCTCTTGAGTCCCACGCTTTCCGTGAGCAACTACCAGGACCATTTTGCTCACTATTTCTAGCTCACTGTGTCCCCTCACCCCTCAGTGCTTGGCTGCCTCATAGGGAATGGGCTTTGAAGGGCTACAAAGACAGAGGGAGATGCAGCAGGTGAGCAGCATGATAGGAGGGAGAGGAGTGCCTTGCCAGTGCCTGCAGTGGGCATGAGAGACTGAACAGGAGAAAGCCAAGAGCAGTGGGCAGAGGTTGGATTGGGATCCAGAAGCCCCTGCCTCCTGCTGTGACCTCTGGCCAGCCCCTGCCCCTCTCTGAGCCTCAGTTGCCCCATATCTCACAATGGTGCAGGCCTATGTGGTGCTTGTGCTCTGGCCTGGGTCATGTCCCCCGGTCTTCAGAACCCAGCTGGGCTGTGCTACCCAAGACAAATTTCCACACCCACACCAGCTGGGCCAGCACTCAGGCCCTGAGTCTCCCTTGACTGCTTAGCACCTGGCTCAAGGTCCTGGGGCCTGAGCAGTGTCCAGCACCCGCCTCCTTCCCTGGCACAGACAGACCTGCCAGTCACAGCATAGCAGGGACCAGGAACTGGCACTGACAGAAAAGGTGGAGGTGGGGTACCGCAGTGGGCAGGATGGGTGGAAGGGAGGGAGGTGCTGGCCAGGAGTCAGCTTATGGTTCCAACCCTTGGCCCAGGGCTAGTGAAGGCTACCAGGATTGGCAGCCACTGCTTTGGTTGCCCATTGCCCAGGGCTAATGAGTGGGTTCAGAG